TGGTTTTTTTAAAGTATATATATCTTGCTTTTGTGGCAGGTATTTGATTGACAGTCGGTGGTTCAAGCAGTGGAAGAAATATGTGGGCTTTGAAACTTGGGATTTGTACAACGTTGGAGAACCCAACCTCTTCCCAGGACCAGTTGACAACTCTGGACTTTTTACCGGTAAGAATTACCCAGAACTGATTTTGAAAAGCACTCAAAAAGGGGAAGGCAGGTGATCCTATGTCAGTTTTGAGTGCATTAGATCCTCCTGCAGTTAAAACTAGTTAAAATGGTCTAATGTTTACTAGACCAGATACTAACAGGGACAGATAAGAAACTAATAAAATATATAGTTATTAAGTATTAAAATGGAAGATGAAAAATGAAAGGAGACAATGATAATATGGGCTAAAAACTTTGGACAGAGGTAACTGGCAGAAATTATGGCATAGGAATTAGAAATTAATGATGTCAACGGCATATAAAGAAAACTTACATAAAATGTTTTATAGATGGCACTTCTCACCCTCAAGACTGGCAAAGATGTTTAAGAACATGTCAATTAAATGCTGGAAATGCCATCAGATACCTGGTTCGTACTATCATATGTGGTGAACATGCCCAAAAGCAAAAAAAAAAAAAAAAATGGACAAAAAACCTTACAGATGATAATGTGATTAAAAAATATTAGAATGTGCAGAAATGAATAGATTAACATTTGCAATTAAGGAAAAGGAACAAACTGAATTATTATAGGGAATTTATTTTATCAATGGTTAGATAAGAAAAACAGAAGTTAGAAACATAGAGATATAAGAAAAAGATTAATGAAATAAGGGAGATTGGTTAAAATAGAGAAGTAAATATTATGATTACTATTTTTATTATTGTAGAATTAATGTCAGTGTAATGAATATTGTTGTAAACATTATGATTACTATCTTTCAAACTATACCAAGACAATACACTGTTTAATTGAAAATGAAACTTTGACATGTTAAAAAAAACTATTAAAAATGTTCTAATGTTTGAGAACAGATGTGATTTTTTTAATGTGGATATGGACCAAAAAACCTCACTTTGAGTATGTGGCAATTATAATTGACCTTGAAAAAGCTCTGAAAGTTTTCTCAACCTTAAATAAACATTTTATCTATGGCTTCCCATATAACTTTTTCTTTCTTATCATTTCATTACTCTAAGTTATGCTAAGAACTCAAAACTGAATTGTTGATGCCTTTATATTAGCTGTCTTAGTTTGTATAATGCCTGCTTGAAAAAAGGCAAATCTCTCTACATATCTGCTTTTCCTTTTTCTTTTTTTGTACTATTGTTTTTTACCTCAAGGTGGGTTTCTATTGTAGCACATGAAGTGTATTTATAAATCTGAGTTTTCCCATTATAGATACAGTTCTGAAATAGAAATATCCATAGTATATGATGGATTCAGTAGTACATACCAATTCATTACAGGTCATCCATGACTTAGAGCCACAATTGAGCCCAAAATTTCAATTAATAAGCAAAGCAGTTGTTGTGGGGTTTGCCCCATTTTATGACCTTTTTTGTCACAGCTGTTAAGCAAATCACTGCAGTTGTTAAGTGAATCATGCAGTTAAGTGAATCTGGCTTCCCCCATTGACTTTACTTTGTTGGACACCAGCTGGAAAGGTTACAAATGGCAATCACATGACACTGGGACAGCTATCATAAATATATGTCAGTTGCCAAGTGCCTGAGTTTTGATCATGTGATTATAGGGATGCTGCAGTGTGAAAACTGGTGATAGGTCATTTTTTCAGTGCTGCTGTAACTGAACAGTCCCTAAACAAATGGTTATAAGTTGAGGACTACCTGCATAGATTAAAATAATATAGTAATCCTCACTTAACCCTAATTGGAACTGAAATTTATATCATAAGCAAGAAGTCATTAGGCAGCAGCTGTCATTTTTTGCACAGGAAATCATCACTTGCACCACTGCCCTTCCTTTTCAGCTCCATCATATTATCCTCACCCTGGCTGTTGGGGGCAATTAAATATTCTGCTGGTTCTTTAAAAAAAATTTTCTCTGCAATGTAGTTTGTGTCGAGATTTATTTTGATGTAGTGAATGAAATAGCCCATAGTCCTATGTTCCCTTTTCTTTTTTTAGATTCAGAAACTCAAACTTTAAAAGAGCACCTCATCGATGAATTGGATTATGTACTGGTTCCTACTGAAGCTTGGGATAAACTAGTAAATTGGTATGGTTGTATGGAAGGACAGAAGCCAATTGTGAGAAAAGTAAGTATTTGTGTTCCTTGTATCTCCTAGGCATTTAGAAGATTATAGAGAAGGCTTTTTTGCATATTTACAGAAATTGTATACATTTTCTCTAAGTTTGTCAGAGGAAACACACTTTTAAATTATAAATAGCACAACTGATCACATGTAATGTGAATGTAAATTGTAGTGTATTACACTTGGATGTAAAATTGAAGAACTGAAATGGAGAAAGCTGCCTATTTTCACACAATAGCTAATATAAGATATAAAAAAATTCAGTGCTTATATCTTGTATATTTAGTTATTAATCTAAACTTCAGAATTAACATAGTGAGGTCCATTACATACTTACTTCCATCTATTGTATATGAAGCAGAGTAAACACATTCATGTAAGGTAATAGATTTTTTTTTAAAATCAAAGATGAAGAAAAGTTTAAAAAACATTCTATTACCTTACATTAATGTATTTTTATATTCTATTGCATGTTGAAGGCTTGCTTTATTTTAAAACCCTAATTCTGAAGCCTTTTATATAGAAGTATTTTAATGGCTTGAAGAGTTAGTTGACTAAATTTCCACATGTCATTGGATTAAAATTGGTTGTTTTTTAAATTTTTATTAAGTCTGTCCCAATATTTGAATGTTCATACTTCATAATTATATGTTTGACATCTGTGTATTAAAAGGAAGGGAAATTTGAGGAATGTGGGAGCATATTGATTTTAATTTGTAGCTTCTTATTAAAGAGGGCTTAATAAAATGGCAAGATGCAACAGTAAACATGGGAGGAACCAGGGACATTCAATGAAAACTTTGAACAACAAGTAAAGAATAATCTGAATATATAAAATATTAAATCAAATTCCGGTTGACATGCTTTTTGTCAATTGCAGCATAATGTGGAAGAAAGTAGATGTTCCTCTAATGAGTCTTCTAATGAGAATTTTGCACCATGGATAGCCCAAGAGAATGGATACACCCTTAAATTGCAGTTTAGGGGGCTAATGTCTGTACCTCTGATATCATTATTTTTTCTTTGCATTATCTGAGTTCATAGCATGGGATGCCATGCTATTCTAATTTAGTGCATGGACTAATGCAGAAACTGTGGTGAAAATATTTCAATTCTACTATCGTATAGAGAGTGCCAAGAGACAGCGTTAAGACATTTTGTGCATTTGGCATTCACACTGATTATTTCTCCCTTCCACTACCTTGTCTGTTGTTTCCCACTGTGCAGTTTTTATTCTAACTTTGAACGCTTTGCCAGCCTGGCAGGGTGCTTTCTACTTTTTGTATGTATCTTCTTTTCTTCTTTTTCTCAGCTTGCATAATTGGACATGACAAGTGTCATGGTAGCATAGTAGTCAAATTACAGCTTAAGGCACACAAATATGATTAGGTGCTTTCTTGCTGTTGCAGTTCCTCTGTCTGCTTTTTTTTAATCCAATATCACAATTCTGATGTTAAGGAATGCTGCACTGTAGCATCCTCAAAGACATGTGGAATATGCAGAGTAAATTTTGTTCCTGATATTGTCCATATAGTATTTCATTGTTTCCAAGAGCGTATCTCTATTTTTGTTCAAGTATGTGGAGAATAAGAGGATAGGTTTTGTTCTGCTTCAGGCTTGGACAGAAAGTACTATTTCAGGGTGTCTGAAACATAAACAGATGGAAACTCCTGTTATTTGTTCATCTCATTCCACTGGCATGTCCTCTAAAAGGCTCAGGAAGATTGCTCTTTTGGTCTTCCTAGGTTGCATGCATGTCTATTCACAGAAAACATGTCTCTTGGAGAGCTAACAATCTCCTTTACACTCACATACTTAAAGAGATACCCTCAAATCAGATGTATCCAGCCATCAGGAGGCTGCAGCTTCCTCAGGGTTTCAGGGAGAGGTGTTTTGCAAGTTCCCCTTCAAAGCTTTTATACTGCCCATAGAGATTCATTGGCTATAATCAGAAGTTGTACTTATAATTTAACAAAAGTGTCATAAGCATGACATGGGGGGCTATATAAATTAAAATTTAAAACTTCCAAAAACAAAACTTAGCTCTTGATTGTTGAGGTCTTTGTTCTCAAGTGGAATATTTTCTAACTTCCCTAAACAGATCAGGAAAAGTAAGAAAGTTTCTGTTTAGGGCAACATGCAGAAAACCTTTCAAATTGAGCATTTTCAAATGTGAGCCATGTTATTTCAGATGCAAAAATGCCATTTTTGTAATCACAGTGGGGCAGTTTGAATTTAAAGCAATTCAGAGTGTGGGTATGGATAAGAACAATCAATGCATGTGGGTTTAAAATGTTTTGTATACTACTAGTTCTTTTTTCATTGCTCATGTCTTGCCCTTAGTTCTAAATGAGTCTGTGTTGCCACTTTTCAATTTTTTGACATAAACATAAAATGATTATATTTATATTTTGACATAAGACTAGGTTGATTTATTTATAAGCACAAATATAATTTTGACTGCAGATAAAGCCCATGATCTCATTCTTTTTGAAACATACTTTTATAAGTGATGTTTTTTAAATAGGTTGTGGAGTATGGATTGTTTGTTAAGCACTGTAAAGTAGAGGTTTATCTTTTGGAGTTGAAGTTGTGTCAGAACAGTGATCCTACAAATCTTGTGGACTCTTATTTCAGCAAAGCAGATACGATTGGTGAGTATAATGCATGATATTGAATTGTAAAGTTTAAGAATTAAATTGGACAATTATATTTTTCTGTAAGTCTTATTTTATTTCATTTCATTTCAATTCAATTTTATTTGGCACCTGCAGTGTTCTTGGCAAAGTTTTGTGGAAGTCGTTTGCCCTTGCCTTCTTTCTAGGGCTGAGAGAGAGTGACTGGAAGGTCACTCAGCTCACTTCATGTTTAAGGCAAGACCAGAACTCATGGTCTTTCAGTTTCTAGCCCAATGCCTTAATTACTGCACCAAATTAGCTGTCTAATTTTAATTGACTGCATTAAATATACATTATTATGGTTGTTTTTTTAAACTCATTTTTGAATTTATAATATTCCAAATATTTCCTATCTTCCATATCTATAATGAACTTTGTATTTGCCCTTTTTCATATAAAAATCCTGTTTCTAGACAATTATACTTTTTAATATGCTAGGTTCTGTTCCAAAAGCCATAACTTCATTTTTAAACCAAAATGACTCATACTTTTTGCTCAAATTTTTATACACACACACACCAAAGGCAAATAGGATAGTATGCAAATATGTGTAATAACATATGTGTGTGTGTGCCCGCACATGCACATACCCCAAGAGCAATTAGGACAATATGAGAATTACCCAAGCACTTTGTGCATGCTGAATCAGAAATATATTCATTAGATTAAAAATAATAATCCAGATGAAACATGTGCCATAGAATAAACCAGTTTATGTACTTTTAATAAGCCATTACAGCCTTCCATGTAATTATATGTTTGTTTTATCAGCTACTATTGAAAAGGAAATGCGAAAGCAGTTTAATATTCCTGATGGTACTGAAGTCAGACTGTGGAACAAATGTACAAGTAATGCTTATGAACAATTAAGCAAACTCGATAGCACCGTACAAGATGCAGGACTCTATCAGGGACAGGTAAGAAATCAAGATATATTTTTGTTTCTGGGGTTACTTAAACAGATTGCAATTTCTAGGGTCATAGATTTTTACAAAATATTAAAAAAAAAGATTATGGAGTATTGTGCATTCTTCTCTAGTAATATTCATATGGAAGGTTACCCCTTTGAAAATCAGGTCCTATATGACAGCTGTTGTGTGATAGTATGGTTGGAGTGACCTGAAAAAGTTCATTGAAATACTATATGTAGGTGCTAATTTTTAAAATAGTAGCTGCTTGTTTCAGGATTGGGAATGATTTAATTGGGCTCCATGTAGCATTAATATTTTTGTATAACACTGTTGACTATTTTTATCCTGTTAGGTAGTGTTGATAGAAATGAAAAATGAAGATGGTTCCTGGCCTAGACAATCTTCTCTGACAAAGTAAGCATTTCTCTCTCACTTTTCATGTTCTGTGGCTCAAATAAGTGTTTGCAAAACCTGATTGCCAAACCAAGGTTGCACATTGCATTATGTAATCAGAACTAATAAGCTCATCATTTAAATATGTGAATTAATAATGTACTGTAACCACCTTAACAGAATCTATTTTGGTTAGATTCATTTTAAAGTCAGTAATAAATCTGACCTAAGAAGCTAAGAAATTCCAATAATACACAGCTCATTGGTGATTGTCTTGGTTAGTCATTGTTTGCAAATATGGTAATAAATGGAGTAAAAAAACTCATCATCTGGTCACTGTGGCATTTATGAGCCTGACATTTATGAAACCTATTAGGAGCTAGTCACTTTTAGGCAGTAGTGGAGGGCCTGGAGGTTTCTAATTAAGATTACAAGGCTGAGCTTGGTAACTTGAGGTTAGGGATATTTTTATGGAAATGCTGGGAGAAAAACAACTCAGGGAGAGATAACTTTTTAAAGCAATTTCTCTACATTCAAGACATAAAAAAGATGGAATTATCAGACCCAGGACACAACAAGAGAATTTTAATTGACTGACATGGCAGCAATCCATGATCTTCAGAGTACCCCTCTCTTAGTCACATGTTCACTTAGCCACCATTTTACTTGACAACAAAGTTGTTGGATTGAGGTCACTAAGTGAGGGGAAGGTATTATATAGTAATTACAACTTTATTTGGTAACATACTATGAAATAATTTTGTTTGGAGGAAGATTAACTATTCATTTCTTACATTTCTGTATTCTAAATAAAACTATTCATCTCACTATAAGTAATCCTCTCAATTCTAGTGATTGAGAGAAATTAAAATATTAGCTTTTAAATTTCCATCTTTCAAAAAAAATATAGTTTCAGATGTAAAACGTTATAGCATCTAAAGGTTGAAAATACACTGTTAGAAATTTTTACTGGAGTTAGGTTTCTTCATTAAGAAAAATAAACATTCCGTTTGGTATTAGAAGGTTGGAAAAGTTTCTATGTGAAAAAGATTGATCCAAAAATCTAGAATATCCTTAGCTATCTCTTAAATTTGATTCCTTGTCATACTTTGTCCTATTGTATTAAAAAATCCAGAAAAAATAAAATAATGAACGCTTATCAAAGCCAGTGTTTAAGAAATTATGAGTGCTACCTTAATGCCTTTTCCTAGATCATGTACTGCACCTAGCAGAAATCTAGCTACCTCTTCAAAAACACCAACAAGCTCTTGCTCTTCAGTATCTGCCTCTTCAGTCATTACAAATGGTGATAGCAATAACTCCTATGGTTTGAACTGTTCCAGCCTTGGTAAAGGGTAAGTAAGAATATTACTTCTATAAGTATTTTAAATACTAGAGCCCTCCTTTATTATATAAGGTTGTATCCTTTAGGAAGTCTTAATCCCTGTACTTGCGCACACAAAAAAGCCAGTATGTTGTAGTTAAGATGTTGGACAAGGAGCAGGTAGACCCAAGCAGTAGTCTTGCCTTAATCCTGAGGACTAAAGGGGTGATCTTGGCCCAGGCACTCCTTCTTTGTCCAAAAATCAGTGTCAGTTTCTGTGACAGGTTGGCTGATAAACAAAAGCCCTTGTTGCATCATGCTTTGGTAAGCTTTACTGTAAGAAGTAGAGTTGGGGAGCATTTACATGTTATAAGATGATGATGATGATGATGATCAAGAACAGCAGCAACTAGGCAAATACAATGAAAAACAAGTGGAACCTGCCACCATGTGTGATACATGCTAAGAGCAACAGCTGCATTTTACACAATGTTAAGGTAGAATATTTTGGCTTTGCTCTCAAAGCGCTGTATTTCTTTGCCAGGTACTGGTCTATTAAAAGAGAGTCAATCTGTCCCTTTTCCCATAACTACCCTGTTATGTAACAGCTGATGACAAAATGTTGTTGTGTAATAGAGCTTTCCAAGATCAGCATGTGATTGGATGAAGTGGGAAGTATAAAGAAAATCCGTGCTTTGCATTTGATGGCCATGTGAAAACCCAGAAACAGGAAAGGGTTGGGAAAAAGTTTTTGCTTGAACCCTTTGTTAACAAATTCAGAATAATTATTTTTAATATATTATAACTTTAAACAATACAAAAATAATAAAGATGGAAAGACACAATTGAAAATATTCATGAAAAATAAAAAATAGACAATCCTATTTCAATACAGGAAAACCTTCAATAAACCCCTTATAAACAATACAAATTATAGAAACAAAAATTAATTGAAATTGCTGATAATATTAATGTAGAAGAATTTACATTTTAACATTTGCTTGTTATCTGCTTAATCTTTTTTTCTCCAGAAAAATTGGAGCCTCCTATTTTTTTTCCAGTAGGAGAAGCAATCATTTTTTTTCTAATACATATTATTTTGTTTTTAATATTAACTTTATATTATGTATAAGACAGGTACTACAGTTGTTAAGGTTCAAAAAGATTAGCTCCATTTTCAACAGTTAAAATCTAAACTAAATTGATGCAATGCACTTGTTGTTTTTTTCAATTAATTTTTGTTCCTTATGTGTCCAATCATACTTGGCCAATAAAGAATTCTTTCTATTCTATTGTAACTATTAAGAATATTTTTCAGTTTTCTGTAACCTGTATAAATATAGTTACTCTGTTAGTTTCCATTTTGTTTTTGAAACACTTCAAGATGCTGAACTTTATTTTTAAGTCCTAGGTGGCTTAGATCTGAGCTTTGTGTACTTGAAAGGTTGCCTCTATAATGTCTTTTGACAAGGCCTTACTTTAGATTTACCTTTGTTGAATTTGGAGCATTGCTTCAGGTGGGCTCCTCTCATTGGGCACTGCCTTCTTGGGTGCTCAACACTAGTCACACTAGTTCACATTAGAAGGTGGAAATAGTATAATGATGGGACTTAAATGGTATTTTGATATTTGTTTAAAAAGTATGAAACATTTTTATAAAATCAATTAATTGGTGTTGGTTTATTAATGTAAATATGTGTCTGCAGAATGAAATGCTTTTGTTAAAAGCTGTACATCCCAATAGTCATTTGTGAGAGCTGCATCTAAGGAATTGCTTTGATTTTGTATAAACTTATATACTAAATAATTCTAATGCTATGTTTTGGGGTTTTTTTGAAAGTCCTATGGTGCATTAGCACGCTGTGATATGCCTTTTCTTTTTTCAGGGGCTCGAGCTTTTCTTACAGTTACAACAGCAGAGAAAGTCTTCAGTCACAGCCTGGACTCTGTGGGCTCAGTAATCTAGGAAATACATGTTTCATGAACTCAGCTCTACAGGTAAAGTGGTGGTTAAGAACATATAAGGATAGACTTTCTGTTCAGGCTTTATATGAAAATTTAAATTAAAATATGGGTTGGTAACCTGCTTTCCTAAAGCCTTTTACAACCCTCAGCCTAGTTTCACAGAGACTTCATAGAAAGAATGTCTCCAGTCTGGTTCCATCAATCCAGCTTGATGCTAATGAAATGAAGTCCTCAGTGAAACTGTTCCTTGTCCCAGTTTTGCGATAAATAAGTACTGTTAGGCTCTTCAACAGTTTGAAATTTGACATAATCATTTATTGGATGGGATAGGAACATGGAAAGTGACTTTCCCATTGTCAGGTCACAAAAGGGATCATATCAACCCCAGACACTGCAACATTCATAAATGTAAGTCAGTATGTTCATCCATGCTACTGAGCATTGTCTCTGCTGCTTGATACACAACAGTTCCTGGTTTTCAGATACATTTTCCCCAATCTGACTTGGTGATTTTCTGTATTGAACCTAGAACTCTTTCTGTGTATAGCCTGTAATTCTAATACAGAGCTTCAAAACTTTGCTCTCAGATTTGTGAGTAATTAATCTTTATACTTTTATTTTTTTTAAAACAACTTTGAAACTATTTTTACAGGTAATCCTCAACTTACAACAGTTCATTTAGTGACCCTTCTAAGTTATAATAGCTCTGAAAGAAGTGACCTACTATTGTTTTTCACTTACGACCATTGCCACATCCCCATAGTTACATGATCAAAATACACACTTTGACTCACTGACTCACATTTATGGCTGTTGCAGTGTCCTGGAGTCATGTGATCCCTTTTTGCGACCTTCTGACAAGCAAAATCAATGAGAAAGCCAGATTCATTTAACAATTGTGTTACTAATTTAACAACTGCAGTGATTCACTTCACAACTGTGGCAAGAAAGGTCATAAAATGGGGCAAAGTTCACATAGCAAATGTCCCATTTAGCAACAAAACCTTTGGGCTCAATTGTGGTCGCAAGTGGAGGACTACATGTATTTTAGTTTCTTTATAACTTAAAGTAGTTCCAAAGTAGTTTGAAATATTGCAGTATTTTAAATGGTTAGTTGGCCTTTGGTTGAACTCTAATTTATGTTCATTTCTCTACATTATTTATTAAGAAATTTCATCCTTTAAAATGTACATTTTTAAAACAGTCTTAAAAGATAACAAAACCAAGCAAGTGGGTAGAAAAATATTAAATATAAAAATAAAACAGTTCAGCTAAATGAATTGTTTGCTTTATGGTCTCCAGTAATATCCATACAATTCCTAACTAATTCTTACATAATTTTCTAAACAACATTCTCCAATTTTAGCAAATTTTAATTATTTGGGGTGGATTATAGTGGCTATGGGCCTCATTTTCTCACATAATTCTTTCCTCTGAATGTTTTTTTTTTTAGTGTTTGAGTAACACACCTCCCTTGACTGACTATTTCTTGGAAGATAAATATGAAGCTGAAATAAACCAAGATAATCCTCTGGGAATGAGGGGAGAAATTGCAGAAGCATATGCAGAACTCATCAAACAAATGTGGTCTGGCCGGAATTCTCATGTAGCCCCTCGTATGTTCAAAGTAAGTGTAATATTCATCACAGTTAAGTGTTGTGTCTTTTCTAATATTTTGTATACTCTATAAAGCTTTACTGTTATATAGTATGTAGTATAAAGCTAAACCTTTTCAGTAGGAAGCCTTAATTGAATTTAAGATAATTGCAAGAAAATTCCACGTGCAATAAGTTATGCAGATTGGAAAATTTGGTTTCATGAAGCAAAGGCAGAGACATTAGGTCACATAGGTTTAGCTGAGCCATTCTGAATTTGTTAAACTAAAATTCAGAACATTTTGGTTGTTGGTTTTATCCAAATAAAACTTAGAAGTATCTTACAAATGAATTGGATAATTTTAAACTTCTTAACTTCTTGCTTTTGGTATCTTTTATCTTCCTTTTCATAGACTATATGCCAAAATCTCCCACCACATTTTCCTATCACCTCTGCAGAAATAAGTTCATATATGGTGTTATATGGATTAGAAGTAGGAAATTGAATATAGCTATGAGAAAATTAATCTTTAATTAAATAAGAAGAATGGGGAGATTCATGGGAATGGGGTTTTTCATTAGGTAAGATAACAAGCATGATATCTGTGAAGAAATTCACAGAAAATAAATCTGACTTTTTATAAAGAACAGATCATATTGATACCCAAGTCTAAGTTTGGAGATGTATGTTTACTTCAAAAGTCATTTGAAAGTATTGTATTCTACATGTGATCAATAGATATAATCTTTCTCTGTGCCGATTACAAAATATTTCAAATAATACTAGGAAGGGCTAATCAGGAAAGACTTTGGAAATTCTAGGGCAGCAATGGTGAACCTTTTCTGACTTGCATGCCATAAGTGGGGGAAGCGCAGGGGGGTCATGCGTGGACATGCCACACCCATAATGCAATGCGCGACCACCACCACCCAGTGCGCATGTGTGCATGACAGGTGCTGCCCCCCATTTTTGCATGCTTTTTTCGCCCTCCCCAGGCTCCAGAGGCTTTATAGGAGCCTGGGGAGAGCAAAAACACTCCCCTGCCCCTCCGGGGGCTTCAGGGACCTTCAGAAGGCTTCCCTGAAGCCTCCGGAGGGCAAAAAACGACACTACGAGCAAACCGGAAGTGACTTCCGGTTTGCTCATAGGGCCGTTTTTAGTCCTCCAGAGCCTTCAGGGAAGCCGTCTGAAGGTCCCTGAAGGCTCCGGAGGGCTTAAACCGATCCTACAAGCAAACCGGGAGTCTGTTCCCGAACTTCCGGTTTGCCCATAGGACGGTTTTTTGGGCTCCGGAGGCTTCAGGGAAGCTTCTGAAACCTCTGGAGGGCCTCCAGGGGCTCCTCCCAAGGCTCCTATAAAGCCTCCGGAGCCTGGGGAGAGTGAAAAATGGCTTTAATAAAGGCCGGGCTCAGCTGGCCAGCACACACATGCAACACCTCGCCTGCCCTGACAAATGGCTCCTAATGCCACCTTTGACATGCGTGCCGTAGATTCCCAGTTCTAGGGTTTTCTTAATAGACCTGCAGCTGAATATGCTGTCTAATATCTGCATTCACTTCAAAATCATTGAAGACTGAATGACATTATAGACAATGTCATTCTAGATGATGGTTTTGAGGCTGATTTTTGATAAATCACCACCCGTTACAGTATTATGTAGCAATTTACAGGAAATGGCCTATTGTGAATGAAAGTGTTTAATTGATGTTTATGCAGTAGACTGAAATGTAGTTGGGACATAATGTGCAAATTTTTGGAAATGCACCGTTAATAACTATAAAAAGCAATGAATATGTAATTCATGTGGAGGAAAAAATAATTCTTGTTTGGTGCTGTTAAATTGGTAATGCAGATTTCTTATTGAAAGGTGACACCTCTGCTCAAATAAAAATACCTCAAATTGTGGATATGAGGGACAAGAAAAGATGTTTTCCACATATAGAATATAAAACTCGAAGCTATTTATGCATATCTAAACATAGGAGTCAATCCTATCTATTCTGATGACGAAAGGAGTATTTGGGAAATATTTTTAGTTTCCAACCCTAAAGGGTATAAGAACTTGTTTGTCAGCATGACTTTCAGTTATCCAAGTTAATGACACTATTGTTAGTTTTTAAAGGATTAGTAATGTCCAAATTGCTAGTACTGAATGGGTTGTAACAATGATTTGGTGAATGAAATTTGTTCAAACATGCAGCTAAGGAGTGATTTATGGTGAGGATACAAGTTATTGCAATACAGTAAATGGAAATTATTTAAAGAAGCCCCACTCTTTTCCTAGTCCACAAATTAGCTATCCTGTCCCATGAAAATTTACTATATGAGTTTGAATTAAGGAAGCACCAACATGTAACTAAATTTTATATGTTGCCATGTCCTTAACACTTCCTTAACTCATATGTTTATTTTCTTGAGGCTGCATAGTTACTGTGTGAGTTGAGGAAAAGATGCAGCTTTCCTGTTTATTTCCTGAATAGTGAACAACATCTTTGGGAACAACAGTAGAGCTTCTACTGGCTTTGCTTCATTATTCCCAAGAAGAAGGGAATTATGGGAAGAAACTATATTAATAGTATTAATAAGACACATAGTTTTCTTCCTCTCCGTCTCACCCCCTCTCCCAGTTTAGTGTAAGGTCCAGTCAAAGATAGCACTTAGCCTGAAAAAAGATAGCATGCCTTGATTTATTTGTTGTTAACAGAACCAAGGAAAATTTCCCTGACAGTTTATGGCAAAAAAATCATTTGTTAAAGCTCTTTTGCAAGATAATGAGAAACTGGTTATTTGCTGACGGTTCTAATATAACTATAAACTAGAGTATATCTACATTGAATTCTGTGGAACTGGGGGCACTGTTATTGTTTTCTTTCATTCATGGAGTTTATAAACAATATTCCTAATTGTTTTCCTTTTTTCCATTTTTAATTCTAGACTCAGGTTGGCCGTTTTGCTCCTCAGTTTTCAGGATACCAACAACAAGATTCTCAGGAGCTTCTGGCATTTCTTTTGGATGGCTTACATGAGGATTTAAACAGAGTAAAGAAGAAACCTTATTTGGAGTTGAAGGATGCTAATGGGAGACCTGATTCGGTACTTTCTAAAAAATTTCATTTGTAATTCAATTATGTTGTAGAAGAAGTAGAAAAGGAAGAACAACCTTACTGAGAAAAAGCATCTGTGTTTCCTTTATAATGCAAGCAATAATCACTTTTTTGAAACCTTATTCCATCCAGTTCTCCACTTACTAAGCCTGAATGATTAGAACTGATTTTTCATATACATTGATTAGTATTAAGTGCATGAGATAGGCTTTGTCCCAAATTTAGAAATACCCTCCTCCCTCTTTCCTTCTCTTGACAAAATAAATTTTAAGTTAGGAAATTTAAAGTTAGGAGATTTAAAGTTAGGAAAATTCGGATAATTTAAGCCCTGATTTAAATTATTGTTCTGAATTGTTATGAGTTGACTGGCTTTACAAATTTGATAAATTAAACTAGAAAACCCTGTTGAGTCATCCTTTGAGAGAAAATAGTGCAGAATAACTAGAATGGAAATTAAATGACCATACTATTTTACCCTACTGCTGAATAGTCCTGTGATCATCTAAAAAAAGTACATATCATTTTTTTTTAAAAAAAAATTGTAATGGCAAATAAACTTCATTACTAAGACAATATTTACATATCTAAACAGAACAAAAGAATGACCACAGGCAGGCAAAAAAGTAGTGAGAGCAGAACTTCCAACTTCCTGCTGGCTTCCTCATTCACTTTGTTTGCTTGATCTCAGGGAGCATCAGAAATCAGTCATGTGACTGGGAACCCTGCAATAGCCACAACTTTGCTAATAAAACTTGTCTGAAATTGTGGAAATTTCAATTCCAGAGCAATAATGGGTACTAGATGTTTTACACATTCTTTAAGTTGGCAGATATTAGATACCCTTGATTCAAAAATTGTGGTATAATGCGCCATTTGAGCTAGCTTCAGAGTATAAATGATATATACAATGAGAGTTTTAGTTGTATGTAAATTGTAAGTCATTTGATCCTGATTTGAACAAAATATTTTTGCTCAGTATTACCTGAATTTAAATATACTTAATTTAAAATTGTGTTTAAGGCTTGTCATAGCTTTTGTGTACAATACTAATCCACAGTTATACCTGACATAGTGTATTTTCTAATATCTTTATTTTTAAAAATTTCTTAAGGATTGCATTTGAGAAATTAGTTAAATACATACATATTTTAATTTATTTATTTTTGTCTAATTTGTATTTTTTCCATTGTAATGAAATCTTCAATAAAAATGAAAAAAAGTAAAATACAGAGTAACAATAAAATAGAAACGATGAGGCCAAAAGGTTACTGAAACAAAAATATGTCTTGTCTTATTAAGGAAAAAATGAAAAAAAGAGGTTAGTTAAATCTTTCCTGTAAAGAATTCTAAAGCCCTAATGAAAAGTGATTTCATAAATTCTCACCAAGAGTCTATGGTAGCATAAGTAGTAAAGATGGTATAGGACAGAGGTGGATTCCTCCCGGTACGGTACGGTACGGTACGCCAGAAGAGGTAATAAGAATCTGGCGTACCGGATAGGACCAGTAGTAATGATGACCTGGCCACGCCCCCGAACCTGTTCTTTCGTTCATCAGAAGCTTTTTTTAAAAAAAAGTTTTTTTTTCCCCTGCCGGTTCAAGCAAGGGGAAAAAAGGCTTTAAAAACTAAAAGAGAAAGAAGAGTGGGAGGGAGGAAGGAAGGAAGGGAAGGGAAAAAGAAAAGGAAACTCACTTTTCAGCCGGGAGATTCAGCAAAGGAGAAAAACAAATGCTGTAACTTTAAATTGGAACTGAGCATGCCTGGCTGTGGAATTCTGGAAGTTGAAGTTCACAAGTCTTAAAGCTGCAAACTTTGGATTTTAAATTAAAAAGCTGCTCAGAAGGAGGTTTGCAAAGTGACATTCAGCAATTTGTTTCTGGGTCAGCTGAACAAGAAAGAAAAAGAAAGAAAGAATAGCACAGCAATTTAAGGCTAGAAGGCTACTTGGAGGTCATCTAGTGCAACGCCCTGCTATTGCAGGAAATCTTACATTGTCTGGATTATTTTGGTGCCTCTAACAGAGAGGAAAATTGCCAGAAAGGAGAAGGAGTTTACAAGGAAAAGGCTGCCATGCAGAGGAAGGCAGAGATAGTCTTTGACTTATGACTATAATTGAGCCCAAAATTTTGGTTGCTAAGCAAGAGCATTGTTAAGTGAGCTTCACCACATTTTACTCAATCCATGACACCTCCTGGTGTGTGACATCAAGTTGGCCATGCCCACCCAGTCACATGACTGCCAAGCCATGCCCAAAAGATAGTCCACATCCACAGAATAGGCAATAAAAAAATTTGAATCCCACCCCTGGTATAGGAATATGTAATTTTTCAGACCTAGTCCTGGGATGGCGAACCTATGGCACGCTGAGCCATTTGTTAGGGGACGCTGGCCAGCTGACCGGCCTTCTTTTGGGGCCATTTTTCACCATTTAGGTCCGTTTTTCGCCCTCCAGAGCCTTCAGGAAAGCCACCTGAAGACCCCTGAAGGCTCCAGACTTTGAAAATTGGCCCTACGAACAAACCGGAAGTTACAATTCCTGAACTTCCGGTTTGTTCATAGGTCCGCTTTTTGCCCTCCGGTGCCTTCAGGGAAGTTCCTGGGACCTCTGGAGTGGGAAGGGGGAGGCTGTTTTCACCGTCCCCAGGCTCCTAGAAAGCCTCTGGAGCTGGGGGAGGGCAAAAAAACTGCGCCAAAAGCGAGGAAGGTCGCTGGTTGGGTGCCCATATGCAGAGGGATTTTTTTTCACGGGCATAGCATTATGGATATGGCATGCCCGTACACGACTCCCCTGCACCCCCCTGCTTTTGGCACAGGAGCAAAAAATGTTTGCCATTATTGACCTAGTCCTTAGTCACACACAGCGTTTTGGTGGTTCTAGCATCTATCTAAGGTTATGTTACTTTGAGACACATATATTTCACTAATGTTCCTGTTGAAGAAATCTGTTTTAATGAGTATATTTAACTGACTAGGTTCAGTATTAGCTATTTCACTGCAATTTGTTTTTCTTATGTAGGTAGTTGCAAAAGAAGCCTGGGAGAACCATCGATTGCGTAATGACTCTATAATTGTAGATATATTTCACGGACTCTTCAAATCCACCTTGGTCTGCCCCAAATGTTCCAAAATTTCAGTAACTTTTGATCCGTTTTGCTATTTAACACTCCCTTTGCCCTTGAAGAAAGATAGATCCATGGAGGTGTTCTTGGTGTTTGCAGATCCACAGCGTAAAGCTATGCAAGTAAGTAGAAATTTCAGTAATACTATAATTGCCTCAGAAGACTTCTTAGATCACTAAAATAGTTCTAAAACCAATCAAGGGAATTTGTCAAGTATGGGAAAATCAGAAATCCAGACAGTTCAAATGAATTAAAGGTTGTAAGGTTATTATAAGCTTATAATATACAAGTATTATAAGCTTCTAATATACAAGTATGCAATATATAAGAATCTGAACAACTAACAGTCAAAGTAAATTGGGGGGAAATAAGAATCAATGGAATTTGAAGTGGGCTGGATTTAGATCTTTTGTGGGTGCAAAGGAATTCGAGACTGATGACATGTTTGACCCTCCCTCAGGCTCAGTCTTATCTATAAAACTTGCTATTTTTCTTTTTTTTAATTGAAAAAAAAATGGAAAAAAAATCACTTAACTGAAAGTTAAATATGTTGCTTTTAAAAATTTATTTGTGAAATAGAGCAAATATGAGCAATCTTATCCATTAGGTGTCAAGAATAATCTTCACAACCATCCAGCAGATAATATCTCAGTCTCTTTTAACCAAATAGGGACTGGATACCCTGAACAGGATTGCCAGGCAGAGAAATAAGTACATTTTAATGCTTATATTACCACATATTTTATTAGAGCCACTAATAAGCTTCTAACATCTGTATGATTGGATTCACTTCCAGTTGTCCTGCAATGGCATTGCAAGTGTCTCTTCTGCTGGTTTATCTTCCCTAGATCCTCTGTAAGGATATAGTTGGTTTTGTGCATGGAGAGGTGTAAGGCACCCTCTGATCAAAGCTGCTGCTGCTATCTCATTCCAAGCAGCAGCCAAGGCTTCAGCTGAGTCATCTATCAAAGCTTCGGGAACCAACCCCAAGCTAATTCTGAAAACATTTTTTTTAGCAGCCTGGGGCAGGCCTATCGAATAGATTCAACTTCCCTACTCAGGGATGCTGTGGCAAATTCCAGCGTTAACAGAGAATGATCTCTCCATGGCAAGGGAATGATGGTAATATTTCCCCAACACCAGATCATGTTGCCAATGAGACCAAAAAAAAACAAATTTAGCATGTGGCAGACACCCATTTATTAATCAGACCTGCAATAAGCTAAAGCATGTCAATGACAAACATGAATTCCCCAGACTGCCTCCTGAGTTTGCCCCTGGGGAGAACAGGTTGAAAACCCTTAGGACCGTAAGTCTGAGGAGCTTCACTGTTAACCCAAAGATTGCACTGAGCATCATCAAATACCATGGATGAATCAATTTGGTCTTCTAAAAGTGTCATTGTTCAGCCTTTAGCATAGAGGACTTGTCTTGTACACCTAGTAACTTAACTACAGACACATGACAAGCCCTTTCCTAGTGATCTCAGTAACATGATTGGTGTAGTTATGGTAATTTATGCCCTGATTATTACTGGCACCCAGAATCTGCAAATTGAAGTGGGATACAAAAACTAAAAAAATATTTAGTGTAACAGTATTCAGATTCAAATAAGAAATCAACAGAGATAAAACGAATGGATGTAACAGTGGAATGAAACAATTTGAGCATTTGGCTTTCATAAAAAGGAAATCAAGCATTTGTTTGAATTCTATGGATGTTTTTCCAAGACAGCCTCACATATTGCAATTATATTTTATTAAATAATTAAAGACCTTATAACCAAAACAAACAACTTCCATTTTATGCTTAAATAACGAGAAAAAATTAACATTCGAACACGTAAGGTAGTCTAATTAGACTTTAAAATGTGAATTTCTTAGGCCTTTTCTTTCTGCAGTATGGTTTGGTTGGTTTGGTTTATTAGATTTATATGTTGCCCTTCTCCCAAGGACTCAGGGCAGCGTACAACATTAAAAGAAACACATAATACAAAAGTTTAAAAAAATTAAATAGAATTAACAACATTTTTTTTAAAAAAAATCGAATTAAAATTAACAATGATCAATAATTTATTTTGTTTTGTTCAGGCCAGGCTGGCTTGCTGGAAAAGCCAGCTTTTTAGGGCGCATCGGAAGGACCGGAGGTCGGGGATTATACGAAGCTCCGGGGGCAGCTCATTCCAGAGGGAAGGCGCTCCCACAGAGAAGGCTCTTCCCCTGGGGGTTGCTAGCTGACACTGGCCGACGGCACCCTGAGGAGGCCAACTCTGTGGGATCGCACTGGACGGTGGGAGGGTACCGGTGGCAGTAGGTGGTCTCGCAGGTATCCTGGGCCTAAACCATGGAGCGATTTAGGGGGTTACAACAAAATAATTTGTTGTAGGACATATTTTTCATCTATTTTCAATTTTAAAAATTAGGTGAAATCAGTAATGAGAAGTATTGAATTGAAACTGATTATAATGAAAATCCTTTTACCAAGGTTTACTTTGCTTAGTCTAAATTTAATGTTCTGTTTACTTCCAGTTCCGAATAGTAGTGCCCATGATGGGTGGTATATCTGATCTGTGTGATGCACTGTCCAAAATTTCTGGGATCCCTGCAGAAAATGTAAGGATAAAGAATAAAAGTTTATCATTTTTTGTTTAAAGAACTTGTAAGATGGATTTTTGAAGGTTAATGTTACAGTGTAAATAAATAGAAAATATATACAGGAAGTCTGTTTTTCTGTTGAGAATAGACAAGATAATGTTTTACTGATTTGAAACAGATTGTTTAGAATTGTTAATCTGTTTTGCTTTCTATTAAGAATTGTTAAATTGATAACAAAAAAATAAAAGCTTCTTATTACATGCTAATCCAGTAAGAAATCTTAACATTTTATTCTTTTGAGAAGCATGTTTGAACCAGAGTTATAATTATCATTTCTCTCTTAATTGGTAGTTGGAGGAAATATAGTACTCAGTAGCTTCTGATGGGCAAAAATAATTTTGCAGAACTTGAACATTATGATTTTTCTGGGAGAAGATCCAGAAATGTTAGAATATAGTCAAGTTGGAACCCTACTATTGTTAATCTTACTGCTATCTGCTTCTACAAGCCCATTTCAGTCTGCTTTGTAAACCAAGCTATACTGATACAATTTTTTTTTAAAAAATAGCTATTTGAATCTATAAACTGCAATATTTTGGCAGAATCAGAAACCACTTTCCCTTTTCAGATACCTAGTAATATTTATCAAACTAAAATTTTTGATTTAATGATATGTCATTATATCATTATTTGATATAATATCAGTTGATACTATTTTTACTCTGCCTTCCAGCATCTGTTTTTCATCATACCCTTAAATCTTTTGAAACAATTACAGTGTTTTTTCAATTTGTATATGTATTTTTATGGCAAAAACAAAGAGAAAGACCTCTTATATTTGAATTCTGTTTAATTTGCATTCTGTGAACCACTTTTATATAAGTATCTCAATACTGGCAAGTATTGAACACTTCATCTACTTTCTAATTAGTGTTCTTCAACTGTTTGCTATTTTAGATGGTGGTGACAGAGGTCTATAATCACAGATTCCAGAAAATTTTCCAAATGGATGAAGGTTTAACTCATATTATGCCAAAGGACAATATATTTGTGTGAGTAATCAAACATCTAGAAAAAATAGATGCTAGGAAAATTAGCTGCATTATTCTTGACTAGTAGGCACTGATAAAAGAAAATTTGGCCTGTATTGCATGCTCTTTACTTAGTGATCTCCTAGGATAAGGTTCATATTGATTATTACAGTAATAATATTATCTTAGGATTTTTAAAGTTTTTGAGCTATAATGACTCTTAAATTCCAACAAATAAAGTGTTTTTTTTAAATCAGAGCAAAAATCGGCACTCAGAATTGTAGGAAACTGACAACTGAAGTGTTTAGTTTATACACACAGCATTCAAAGATGAAATATTTTGAAAGAAAATGAAAATTTACATCATAGTTAAAATACTAATGTAAGTTCAGTAATCATTTCGCATTATATCTTTCACTATCAATTATCTTGGCACGTGTGAGCATATATTTGTATTCATTTATTTAGTTGCTGAATATTATATTCAAAGGATTATAAAACTGTAAATATGTATTATATTTTGAAACAAAGCATGTGAATATAGTGTTATATTTACTTTGGAGAAGAATGTAGTAATGAATCCATTGCTGTGGTACAAATTAGTTTGGCATAGTATTTTGTATTCATTTCATACAAATTCAAATTCAGTCTATTATAGTAGTGATCAATTTCATTATATAAGGGAGAGTTGGAAAAGTTTCTATGTGTAGGCAAGAAGGTTGGATGTTGTGATTAGGATTTTTGTTTCTTTACTATGAAGATCTAAGAAATGAACAATTATTGATCCTATTTGTGCAGACTAATATGTCACCCATTTTCTATTAAATAATTTATAGAAACCTGTCCAAAAAATGGCCATTGTAACTTTGAATGGTCACTAAACAAATAGTTGTAAGTCAAGGACTACCTGTATGTGTTTTATTATTTGTATATGATATCCCACAGAGGGTTTTTTTGGACCTTCACATTACTATAATAACAATAGTAATATCTCCAACTCAACATGAGCAGTTTAGTTCTTTCAGTAAATGGAAAATGATTAGCCTGAGGCTTCAATTTTCTGCATTAAAAATGATCAGTTGAACTACAAAACTGATTAAGTTTCATATTTGAACTTTTTGGTGCTACAGGTAGTCCTCAAGGTAAGACATCATGTCGTGACGACCATTAAGTGAAGCATCTGCTCTCCCCAATGAATAGTTGTTGCCTAAACCATATTATGACTAAACAAACTAATGCTCTTAAGTCTCCAAAGACATGAAATAATATACTGTTTTCCATAGATTCTTTCAGTGATGTTTTCTATGGATATTTAAATCTTCTGATGAAGCAGAACTTTATTGCATCTAGCACACCTAAAATCTGCCAGTTACTTTTTTGAAAATGCTTTTTGAACTATCAGTTTAGGGAAACAAACAATACAAATTCACCAGAATGTGTTTTTTCTTAATATATTGATTGAAGTCCTACAAATGGAAATTATCTTATAAATTTTAAGATCTAGGAGGAAATTCAAAACACTATGTTCTGTTTTCCTTTATTTTGTATGTATTAATAAAGATGTATATTTTGTTTTTATTCATTTGGATTAAATACTTGATTTAACAATTTTGTCCAATCATAGTTTAGAATCCAAAATATCTTTTTGTTTCTAAGCACATGTAAACTTATAGTTTAGAAACCTGTTAATAGTTTTTCTGTATTTCATTAATTTAGTAATTCCTATCCTCCTAGGTATTTAATCTCTATTGCTTATGCACAATGCCAAAACTCATTTAAAACCTTAGTCCCAGTTGTAGTCAGTCACAAACCCTTTTGCAAAGCTAGTGTGGAAAGTAACGAAGGACAGATCCCTTACCAAAGTGGTAAGAGTTTTAAGTCCCAAACAAGCAGAAAGTGTAGCAGCTCAGTCTGATATCTACCTAATTCAGGTGGGCATAAGAAAGGGAAGAGATATGGCACAATCAGACTTGCAAGATTCTGTTGTTATAGCCACTTTTAACAAAAGTATTATTATTAGGCTTCTTATAGAGTAGATTCTCTCACTAATTTATCTAGTCGGGCTAGATCCAAGCATAGGAATGGGGTGCACAATCAATGTGAGGTGATAAAGATTAGCAGGGAGCAGCAGGGTGTGTGGAGCGTGGGGCAGCAAGGGCAACTTGGGCTTTGCACAATGGTGCTGGCATGGCATGGCATGACTGGTCACAGTGTGGGGATTGAGGTGGCATTTTTCAGTGACAGCAACAGCCCTGGGACTGAAGTAGAGGCTCAACACTGCTGCACTGTAGCCAACTCACAAATGGTGTATGCCAGGCCTCCCATGACCTCCCTAATATCCCTGCAGGCACTCCATGCTACTTACCTGGAACTCCATCCATTTAATAATCCGCAATTCTAAATTAACAGCAGCTGGGCATAGTGGGATTGTGGTCACTAAGCGATGCGGTCATGTGATGTCTGAGTTTTTGATCTCATATGGTGATAGAAATCCCAGTTCCAATTGTGTCTATAAGTAAAGGATTACCTGTACAAATATTGAATTCAGAACTAGCAAAACCAGGAGGCAAGCTGTTCCATTGATTAATTGTTCTCACTATCAGAATGTTTCTCCTTATTTCTAGGTTGGATCTCTCTTTAACAAGCTTCCATCTATTACTTCTTGTCCTGTCTTCTGGTGCTTTTAATTCTCTTTTCCGTGACAGTCACTCAAGTATTGGAAGACAATTATCATGTCTCCCCTCTAATTGTTTTTTTTCCAGTTGGCTAGACGTATGTAGCTCCTTCAACTGTTCATATGATTTAGCCTCCAGACCCTTTATCATCTTTGTTGATCTTCTCTAGACATTTTCTAGAGTCTCAGCATCGTTTCAGTATCGTGGTGAGCAGAGCTATATGCAGTATTCCAAGTGTGGTCTCACTACATGATAGTATTAAAGATGATCTGCAAATCAGTTTGACAAAATTAATCAATTTGGGTTGCTTGTGCTGAATTCCTCCAGGCTAAACTAAAATAGGCATTCAGCACACAGCTGGACACTTATTTTTTTTCCCCTTAGGTTCCATGATGTCCAGCCCCACTAGGCTCCTGCTCCGATGTAACGCCCCAGCATGTGCCATCATGGTGATGACATAAATCACCAAGGATCCTGCTGGAGCATGGGGCTAGGCTACAAGGGGTCAGGTAAGTGTCTGTCAAATTGCATTGCCCAAGCATACAACTTCTTTGTTGTTGTTTTCTTCTTTTCATCTTTTATTTGGCATTGGAACATGAGGAGTGCTTTTGGATATTTTAGCCTGGATGATGGAGGTATTCAGCACATATGCTTAGAATTGATTACATTTTGTCAAAATGGCTTGCAGGTCATCTTTAATTTATAAAACTTCACCAATGAATGCCATATTTTCTCATGTTATCTACTTTACCTATTAAGTATTTTCAGAAATATGTGAATAATAGATGATTCAGCAGCTATTGACATTTTAATTTAGTATCTAAAATATAAAACTTACCCTTCTGCTCTTGCGTTCTATCTTTCTATAATCTGCATCTATGTATTTTATGGGGAATGTACAGCTAGGATAGAATATGTTGCTAGGAATGTTGTTTCCTTAATTTATGCATCCTGAAACAGAATTAACCCAGGGAAAATTCTACAGGTAGTCTTTGCATAACAATCCTAATTGTGGCCAGCAACTCGGCTGCTAAGCAAAGCAATCTGTAAGTGGGAAATCAGTAATCATGACTGTGCTTTCTGGCTAGAAATAAGAATAGAATTAGAATAAAATAGCTTTATTGTTACTTTGAATGTACACTAATCGGCATACATTAAAATGAAATTTCATTGCATACTGCTCTCAAAAGGTTACCACCTCCAATATACACTACATAAACATGACAAAATAAATAAATAAATATGAAATTATACATGTATTATATGACACAGAGAAACACCATAGTCTAGTTCGGATGTATACATGAAATCCCTTTCTCTCCAATCTCTCTTCTCTGGGGAGGGGCACAAGCTAGTATTTTTTGTAGCAAATCTCTTGTTCATCTGATACTTTCCCACTGCCAATGTGGTTGCATTGTTTTTGATGTGTAAAAGATGAAACAGTTTACTCTCTTGAAATATCTTCCTCTTCAGTTTCTCTGCTCCAAGAGACAATGGGGGGAGATAGCCCCATGAGCTCTATGAGGCAGTGTTTAAGTCTAAATGCTATTGCTATGCTATGAGGGAATGTCAGGCAAATGAGAGAATGCCTAAAGAAATTGTTTGCTTTTTTCCCCACTAACCCTCTCTCACGCGTGGAGAGATTGGAGAGAAAGATATAGGAAGATAGTATTGTTGGAAAGATTGGAGAGGAGATTTCAAGGGAGTACTGTAGTCTGTTTGCATAGCACATCTATGACTTCTAGCCTTGGGCTGCCAGCATGATTGCATTGCTTTTAACTCTAAAGGGCTTATACTTTATTTTCTTACAATCCCTTTCTTTCCAATCTGCTCTGCAGAGGAAGGGAAAAAGAAAAAACAGGCCAGGCATAGGACATTGTGTACTGATTATAATGGTTATCATGTAACTTAGGGACACCACAAAGGTGGTAAATATTTGTAAATGGCTTTAAAGCTATTTTTTCAGCACTGTTGTAACTTCAAATGGTTGCTAAATGAATGATCAGTAAGGGCTACCTGTACTTTCCTTATCCGTTGTTGGAAATGTGATCCTAATCTAATTGAAGCATAATTTCTGATGGGGAAGAATTTGTTTGGCAAATCTATACAAGTGTCCACGTCAGTGAATGTGACTTTATGCAGTGGACAACCAATAACCATTAAAACAATATAACAATAGTTAAAACAATTAAACAAATGAAAAGCCAAGATTGCAGAAGAAGAATATAGCTATGTTGCAGGCTCTCCATTGGATCCTCAAGGCTATATGAAAAAACAAGTGGCAAGGGCCTTCAAAGACTACATCTTTGAATCCCATCAGGTGAAATTCTGGCTGACAGGACCGGCAATATAACCCTTCTGCTGGATCTGATGGGGCAGTTAGATATAATCCTGAAGAGGTGGCCCCTCAAATAATCTGATCAAAACTAGCTCCTTGAAGTGAACCTGGAAGCAGTCAATCAGTCAGTGTAGCTTGCAGAACAGAGGTACAATATCTGCCATGGTAGGGACACCCATAACTGTTTGTGCAGCCACACTTGGCGTTATCTAAAGTTTCTGATGCTCTTCAAGGGTTCCATGTAAAACATATTATAGTAATCCACTCTTGAGGTGACCACAACTGTGAGTAGTGCCTTGTGGTCCAGGAAGGAGCAAAACTGATGTATAACACAAAACTATACAAGGGCTCTCCTAGCCATGTTTGTTCACCTTCTCCTCGAGCAGGAATTGTGATTCTACAAGACCCCCAGATTATGCACCAAGTCTGACTGGGGTAGCACCACTACCTCCAGTACATAAAAAGGTAAAATCCTAGATCCAGAAAGCCCCAAAATGCAGAGCCAATCTCAATCATTCTCCACACCAATGCTACCTCGCCCTATGGTTACCTCACCTAGCAGTTCAGGTAGACGTCAAATACTGCAGGAATGGAGAAAGTAATATACCCCATGGAACCCTGCATACCAGCCCTGTATAAAACACATTATTGTGCCATTCACTCCCTCTTCATGGAATCGGTCCAGAAGGATATATCATGGTCACTGATATTGAAGGCTGCTGAGAGGTCAAGAACAGATACACTACCCCTAAATCACTCCCAACAGTGATCATCCAAACATACATCCAATGGCATTTCCATCCCATGCCTGAATCCTGACTGAAAGGAGTCCAGATAATTCACATCATTCAGGGTTATAGATAAGGGTTCAACTATTGGGGTCTTAATATTCTTTGAGCTTGGTTGTTTCTTTGCAGACATTTCATTGTTTGGTAACTACTCACCTGGCATTTCATTATTTAATTTCATTTCTTTATTTTATTTTATTGTTTTTAAATTTCTTTACCGCTATCTTACCGATGCAGTCACTCTGGGTAGCTTGATTATTCATAATTCCTTGATTAGGATATTGTTTCTATGTAGGTTGTTTGTTAATCTGTTGCTTTTTCCTGCTTATACAAAGGCTGTGCTCTCAGCTGTTTCCTTCCTTCAAGTTTTGATTGTAGATTTTTTTTTAATGGTATGTAGATGGGGCAGGGTGTGCTATGTGTCTGGTCATGATTTATTTGTGTGAATGCCAAACTTTCAGAAATTCCTTAGCATTTTTGGATTTAACTCAGTGTCAAATATCAACAGTTTTCTAGTTAAAAATGTGATTGAATTTGTCTTTGTTTTGAGAGATTAATGAATTTTCATCCGCCAGAAACATATAATGAGCTATACAGTTGATCTGGACTTCTGAAATTTATTTTGTATAATTAATTATTTACTGAATACCCTTTTGGTATTTTGAGAATTAATATTTTGAGAATGAAGAGCAACATCCTCCTCCATAATATTCACCACTCAAAATATGTATTGCTAAGCTCACATTCTGTGCCAAATCATGCTTTCTAAACTATGGTTGTTAAACAAGCCACAATGGATTACAGTATTATAACACTGAGCCATATTATTTCCAATTGTTTCTGTATGTCCAGTACATTCAGGCTGAGGGTGTACACTCCAAGTCATTCAGTTAAATGCTTCCATCTTGTGGATTGAGGAAACATGCCTTTTGTGTCATGCCCCCATCCTCTGGAGCAACATCCAAAAGATATATGGAAAGCACCCACTTTATTGGGATTCCAAAAAATCCTTAAGACCTGACTTTGTTCCTCAAGTTAATATGGTTCCTCAAGTTAACTATAGTTGAGGATCCTGTCACATTTTGTACTGTTTGTTAAACTGCCCAGATTGGATTGAGTGGCCACACCATTAACAATTAAATTTGGAACGGTGCTCAAAAGAAGAGCCAATTTTGGGGGGCTTTTCTAAATGCCAGCATAGTCAGCACTATCCAAATCTTGGGAGCAGCAGGAGATGTGCTGTTCCACCAGGCAGGCTCAGCCTCATAGAAGTCACATGTCCTGAGTCCTGGGAGATGCAACTATTTAATAGACAGGACCTGAAATATGCTAACCCTGTCTGACTTTTTAGGGTGGGTAAAAATAATTGGAGATAGATGGTCTCTCAAATATTTTGTTCCTGAGCCATGAAGGGTTTTAAAGGTGACAACCAACACCTTGAACCAAATTCAGAAGCCACCATAAAAAGTGCAGCTCACCTCACATAGTAGCACCGATACTACACGAGTGTACCAAGGTGCACCCATAATTATGCACACTGCTGCATTCTGGACCAGTTATAGTTTTTGAATGATTTCCATGTACAAAATAATTCAGATAAGGACTCACTAAGGAATGAGTGCCTATATAGCAGAGCTGCTGATCCAAATGAATTTGTACAAAGGTCCTCCTAGCCATGGTGGCCACCTGCTCTTCAAGTGAGACTTCAACTCCAGGAGGCCCCTCAAATTATACACCGGTTTTATCTGGGGTAGTGCATCCCCATCCATAACTTTGAGGTGGAAGAGCTAACCAGGAGTACATTAGTTAGGTCACCAAGAGTTGAAATTGATAATATCCTCAGATAGCATTCTTCAGGGCTTTATGTAGATATTAAATAGGAGATGTGATCTATAACAGTTAGGGGCAGAGGGGAAATACAATAGTATGATTATATAAATTATTGGCATCATCTACTTAATCCTTGAGGGGAAGCAGAATGTTTTTTTAAAAAAAAATAGTTTTTTGAAAGTACAAATAGTAACTATTGAAAATCAAAGCGTGCACATTTTATTCCAAATTGTTCAAGAGAAAATAGTTAATAACGTCTTCATAATATGAACTAAAAAGGACAAGGAAGTATCGAGCAACTTTTAGCTCTTGAAGAAAAAAGAAAGCCTCTAGAACAGGAGAAGACCAGTAGAGGTTTGGCAGCAGGTTCAAATGGTAACTGTAGATTGTTTGAGCAGTCACATCTGAATAGAGGTTATGAACTGTTATAACTGAACTCAGCTCTAGGTAGAATATCAGGCCAGTTGTTTGGTGATAGTTAACATCATAACCAAGGTATTAGTCTAAAATAGTACACATGTGTTCTCTATTTCTTAATCCAGCTGCAGATAGAACAGACGGAGCTTCAGCTTAATACTTGACATATAATTTTATCAAAAATTACTGTATAATAGAGTGCCTCTGTCAGAAGTAATTGGGAAAACCATGATTTCAGAAAACGTGTTGAATTATTAGACCAGCTGTCTCAGAAGTGGTGAGGGAATAAAATGAACCATTGTAGGCCAATGTCAGGTACCACTAAAATGGCATCAGAAGGAAGATCATATGTTCATAATAGGTTCTGTCTAGTTTATGCATGAATATATCTTAATAAAGAGCAACATAGCACTTTTCTGAATGACTCTGTTGAATTGTTCCTACAGTTAAGAAATATTTTTCTGACTTTCAGTTGGAATCTGCTTCATATGAATTAAATATATGTTCTTCCACCTGGAATGATAAACAGCTCTTGATCTTCTCTCTTCTTGCAGATATGAAGTTTGTAAAGCAACTGAAGATAGTGCTGAATGTGTCACACTCTCGGTTTACTTCAGAGAAAAGAAAGCAAGACAATCTAGTGCTACCCCAGGGACAGTTCTTTACGGCCAACCGCTACTCATAGCTGTACCCAAACACAAGCTCACAATAGAGTATTTATACAATGTTATATTGGAGCGAATTGGGTGAGTATAGGTCACATCTTGGCATACTGTTCATATGGTTATAAACATTCTTTGAAGTATTCTGCATTATAAATAGCCCTCAATGTTTGACAGTGCACTTAACAACCATTCAAAGATGCAATGGATTTGAAAAAAGACCCATCCTCGAAGTTAGGATTGCTGCACCATCCTCATGGACATATGATCACATTTCAGCTGCTGGGCAACCTGCTCACATTTATGATCGGTTGCAGCATCCTGTGGTCACATATTTTGTGGCACTTTTTGCTGTTTTCTAACAAAAAAATACCCATTGGTTAAGCTGAATTTGAATTTATGACCATGTGATTCATTTAACAACTGTCATAAAAACAATTGTAGAATTGAGTCATGTACTGACTTCACTTTTGACTGCAACAAATTACAGAAGTAGAATTATTTCTATACTGAACACTGCCTATTTGATAGTTGAAAAGTTAAAAAGTTCATTTAAAAAAACTTAACACAAAACAATAGAATATGTGATGACTATTTCTTCATATTTCTTGATGCAGCTTGGGAACTTTTGCATTAATATAGCGTCCCAATTTTCAAAACAGATTTAAAAGTGTTTTTATTTCAATTTTGATATGAGCTATTGTGAAGTTATAATACACATGTGTTATACTGTGTTTTTCTGTACTATACTATTGCTTGCAGTTCTAATCCTGTCCATAAGACTTCCATTCCTCCTTTAAAGCAATATAGACCAATGAATATTTAATATTAATATATTTAAATGCCAGTGTTCACAATGAGTAATAAATAGTCATTGCTATCAGTTTTGGAACTAATTATTTTTGCTTATTGATTTGCCTGATTTCCCAATAATGGACCAACTATTATTTTTCAGACGCTATGTAAAAATTGATTTAAAAGAAGAATATTCTGATGTTTGTCTGGACAATGACACTTGCAATGGCTTCACCAATATATCTGAAGGTAAATTCTCCAAATTTAGATTAAAATCTAAATATGTTTTGACATGTTTTTCTTTTCTGTAAATCACAAACCTAAGTCTGGCTGATCTTTAAAATACTTGAAACCATGTCAAATTTAGTCCAAACTCTCTCCAATATAATCAAGTTACCTTCATTGTAATTTTGAATCAGATGCTTCTTAGAAGGGAACTTGCAAATCTGAAATATAGTAGGAAACACACTTCGCAATATATTTATTCTAGGTGATGCTGAAGAGATGGAGCATCAGGATAGTGAAGAAAACAAACAGAAAATACCAGATGCAGATGCTTCTCGGTCTGAAGAGAGGGATGGGCAGGTGGAAGGGAAGCAGCACCAGAAAAAGCAGTTGTTCAGTTTCAGTTTTGTGAATTCTTACGGGACATCAGAAGTAAACTGCCTTACCACAGAAGGGAAGATCCTCAAACTGAGTTGTACGTATCTTTTAAAAAATTTAAAATGTCACTATGGGCACTTTTCATTTGTGATAACTTTATGAGCGACTATTGATTTTTTTTTTCCAGCCTATGCAACTGTTGCTATTGATTGGGATTCCGACACCCGGAAGCTGCTTTTTGATGAACATGAAGCTCAGGTGATTAATGTTTTTGTCTCCCTTTTAAAGGGCAGAACTAGTTGGACTTCTTCATCCCTGTTATAAAAAAATCTAGGCAAGATGATGATGTTCTGATTTGATATTTTTCTTAAAAGGCTCTGTAAATAAATATGACCATAAAATATTGCTTTGCAGAATAGATAGGCTTGTTCGTGCAACTGATCATATTTTATTGAGTATTTGTATGCTTAGTGAACGTTTTGTAATTGGATTCCCCCCCCCCAAAAAAAAAATATTTATTTTGCCATTGTGATTGATATTGCTCCTTTTTTAAAGCAGGCATTGAAAGTCTCTGTCTTACCACAGTCAACATGGTAATTTTCTTGCAATCCTCAATTATATGAATTTTATTAGTGTTTTTGCTTTTCCTTCTCTGACCAGATAACCTATTTTTATATGCCTTTTTTATTCCTATAAATGGGCTGATTGAAGATTGGAATCTTGCAATGTAAATGCCTATTCATGGTTCCTAATCAAAATTATTTTAAATTATAAATGAAGATTTTAATATAGATAGTCCTCAACTTACGATTGTTTATCAATTCAAAGATACGATGGCCTTGAGAAAGGTGTCTTACAATCTGTTCTTGAAGTTTGTTTATTTATTAAATTTATATGCCATCCATCTCATTCTACAAAGTGGCTCAAAGGCTAACAAAGTGATCATGGTCACATGATCACAATCCAGATGCTTGTCAACCCACTCATATTTATGATGGCTTCAGTGTCTTGCCATCATCTGATTGTTACCTGTGTCCTTTCCAATCGTTTTCTGATAAGCAAATCTGCCTTCCCCAATATTTTTTGCTTAACTATGGTGATCCACTTTGGCCGTGTGATTTCTTCCTTTATGACCACACTGCTTATAATGGGAATTCCATTCCCAATTGTCATGTTGATAAGCAACAATAATTGGTTCTATGGAAAAGGTGGCTAAGTCACACGGACAGTAAGACACGGTCAATAAGTGAACATGTGACTAAGACAGAAATGCTGCTAAGATTGCTGGTGGCTGCCATCTCGTTTAAATAAATTTCTCTCGTGTAGCAAGCCCAGTGTTACTCTCTGACATGCGTTATTGTCAGGAATAGAAATTCAGGTTTAATTGTGCACACTGCATTTTTCTTTACTACCAGTTATTAGTTAGATTAGTGAATGGTTGCTATCGAAGGCAGTTGCTAAATGAAAACTGCTTGTATGCATTTACATTTGTTGTTGTCACTACAACTACCATGGTGCAGTAGCTTTGTATGTGTGAAGTGTGTGTACCCTGACTACTTTTTTAGAAATGTCTGTTTTTTCTCCTTTTTAATATACATTTGTGTTTTTAGGCATTTGAAAAACACAACAGTATGTTTCAGTCACAAAAAAAGAAAACTTCTGTAGCCCTTAGAGAATGTATAGAACTTTTTACAACTATGGAGACACTTGGGGAACATGATCCCTGGTATGTTTTTGCTACTGACTATTTTTTAAACCGCATTTCATAGCTTGTGCTTGAGTATTATCTTTGTATGTTGCTGTTGCATGTTGACATACAATTCTTCCTTACAAATGGAAATCCCAATTTCAGAAAGCAGACAACCAGGATCACATGTGGCCACTCTTCATTGTTTAATAGATATATGAAAGTAGCCTTATCTACATACCTGTGAGAATTGCTGTGTTGGCATTGCAAAAATAAGACAGCTGATCATGTATATTAAGATTATCTTTCATTAGTGCTGCAGGACAGTAGGGTTTCCTCAGCCACATTAGATTCCATCTGATGATGAGGCTATTACGTGATCCCTATTCCCCTTCTAATTTCTGGTAGATCTAGCAGACCTATTTTCTTAGATAAATCTCTGCCATTACTATCTACTTTGTAGATTAAGGATCCCCAACCCTTTTAGAACATTTGTAATTTCAAGAACATGTCAGAGACATTCTCAAATGGCTTATATTGATGTACCATGAGGGGAACTGGTGGAGTTGCTCCCTACTCTTTTTAGCTTCTAAAAATCTTCTTTATTATTATTTTTTCTGGGCAGGATAGCGTAATATATCAAATATATCTAAACAAACCATTCAGCTATGGCCAGTAATTGTTTTTAAGAATGTCTCTAAGAATCTATATAAAATAAAATAAAGATGCAGCAGGAAAACTGCATGGCACCACAGCTATGCATTTGTGATATATTTGAGACATATTCCAAACATGTATTAAGAAGCACTTGTTCTAGACAGCTTCACAATGCAAGACAATGCAATCTCCACTGATAATTAACATAACTTTTAATGTAATATAAAAGCATTTGTCATATTTTTATTAAAAAAGGTTCAGTGAAACCATGATAAAATCAGTAACAGCAAAAGTACAGACAAGATAAGATTAATTATTGAAAACAAGCCCAATATATGTTGGTTTTGAGGACAAATTTCTTATTACATTTTTCTGGTAAATGTAGATTCTGCTGCTATTTCCAGTTTAAATGGGATTTGAGGGTAATGGGGGAACTAGTGAGAGGACAAGCACTTATGAATGAATTAGTATTCCTTTCCCTTAAAATGATTTTGGAAAATGCACTGAATAGTGGTGTATATTATGCATTTCTTTTCCTTTGCTCAAAGTATTCTGCATTCTCACAGCACTACAGGACACTTTATCCATAGATTATTCTTTCTGTAGTATTTCTTGAAATAATAGGCAATTATGCAACATATAAGCTCCTGGATTTTTTGTGTATCTTAAAAATAATTCCAGCCCTAAGCAATCCCATAGGTTTTCTTCCTGTAAGGTATAGAGCAGGGGTGTCAAACTCATGTCATCACTTGACGTATTGCGACTTTCCCCCCTATTGCTAAATGGGGGGTGAGCATAGCTAGTGTGTGATGCGGCCCTCAGACTGCAAGTTTGACATCCCTGGTATACAGAAAAACTGGACTAAAATCTGATCCCAAAAGGTTTATTTGGTTTACTTAAGATTGCTATATTTTTCCAGATCTATGGAATTGTAAGTCCCATTAAACAAGTATTAATTCCCTTCCAATAAAGTGAATTGATATATGCACCAAACACTTTTGTTTTTGTTTTAATTTCTATTTGATTTGTTTCAGGTATTGTCCTAATTGCAAGAAACATCAGCAAGCCACTAAGAAATTTGATCTTTGGTCATTGCCACGCATTTTGGTAGTGCATTTAAAACGCTTTTCATACAATCGATATTGGAGAGATAAACTTGACACAGTAGTTGACTTCCCTATCAGGTAAAATTTTCATAAATGTTGGTATATTGGTATGGTCAGACCTGATATCCTTATGAATACATGGTCCAAGTAGCCTTGTTACAACTTAAATAATTACAGTACCCTGTTGCTGATTTTTGATGCCAACATCTTCCTGAATGCCTTCCTTTTTTTTGCTTTGTTCCTCTACTCTGGAATTTTGTATAGCTCTACTTTCTGTTCCTTTTAGCTACTTTGGTTTGGATTTTCAGATTTGTGGTAATTTTGTTTTATATTACTCTGAGTTGGCAACTCACTAGTCCAACAGTTAAGGTACCTGAATCTCATGGTTAGTGTCCACATATTCTTGTAGTAAAGATCTTTAACCTGAGCAATACCTGGCTGTATTTTGGAACCAAATCTAAATTTATATTTTATTTGGCAAAATGTTACTTTCTTCTAATCATATTATTCTCTGCTAATTCAATAATTTATATCTTTACAATATAATTTAACAAATTAAATAAAATGTTTTTCCTAATATGCTCATAGTATGTTAAATGAAAAATTAAATGTTTCTCTTGGTCAGTATACTTGGAAACAGAAATTGATTTTTCCTCTGTATCAGGTTAATTATACATATTTTAGAAAAAGTGAAAAAACACAATCATGTCTGTGGTCACATTGTGATTTTATGTAATGTTAAGAATTGTAACTCAAACGTGCCCTTGTCAGTATATGTTCTCTGTATCTATATTTTCGTGGAAAAGTATTTTGGAAAGATTATACTAGGTATAAGAGCATTTCTTTGAATCTCAGTGAGAATTTGCTTCCTCTCAACCTTAACCTTACTTGGAAGAATTATATTTGCACACAATGTCTCTATGTCTTTTGTCTGTAACTATTTGTAACAATACAACAATTTTTTTTAGTATAAATATATCTTTCCCAGCCCTGTTAACATTTTTCCAGTGACTATTTCAGAGAGCCTGCCATGGTTGCTCATGTGTTTGTAGCAAAAAAAGAGACTATATTACCATAAACTGATTATATTGAAGTACCGATATTTCTACAATGAAGCAGTAGTGTCTGTGTAAATGTATCAGAGAATTATTCAGGAACATTGTGGGTAATCAGCAATATTGTGACTTTTGCTGGTAATAACAGTTGAATAACAGATTGAATAATTTCAAAACTGGTTTTGGAAATACCAATAGATTGTCTTTTGTGTAACATATTAGCATATGTGGGGGTTTTTTGGCACAACATTAATCTTTGTGACTTCTTTATAGGGATTTGAACATGTCTGAGTTTGTTTGTGATCCAGCAGCAAGCCCATATGTATATGACTTAATTGCTGTTTCCAATCACTATGGAGGCTTGGGTGTAGGGCACTGTGAGTAACTCTTGCTCCCCCCCCCCCACTGTCTGTATTTTTTATATCATAAAGTTCCCCTTTTCTGAAGCTGCTGTTTGTTATATATCTTCAATAAAAATATTGCTATGAATCTTCAGATATTTAAATTAATCAGTTTTCATGAGTTTAATAACACTGATGAAGTCCCATGAAAATGTGTATAGTGCATCCAGCCAGTTTGCTAGTTGTTACTGAATGTGTTTAACTTTTAATCTATTAAGCATATAATGATTGTGTAATATTTTTAAAAATCAAAGTGTAAAGCTTCCTTTTTCCCTCACCTGTGGTTCTTTAAAGTGTTGAGGGGGTTTTCTTATATAATTATTTATTAATGGTTGCCAATTGTAGTAAAAGGGAATTCCTTTATGCTTTTTTAACAATGTTAGAGACTATCTGTACTTGCAAAACTCAGCCTGTATTTTAAAGCATTATATTTTTCTTTTGCATTTGTTTACCTGTCAGATACTGCATATGCTAAGAATAAAATCAATGGGAAATGGTACTACTTTGATGATAGCAATGTATCTCCAGCTTCTGAAGAACAAATAGTGGTAAGTATAAATCAAACATTTTCCTGGTAACTTTTGGAATTTAACAAATGCAGCTGTTAAATCAAAGTAACAAGTTAAAATGGGACTACAAATTATTTTCTACAGAAAAGAGAATTCACCTAAAACCCAATAGGAACAGAGGGTTAGCTGCAATTCCTCAGAGTAACCTCTCAACCTGTGCACTGATTAAGTGATAGGTTGCATGACTCCACTATTTTCTTGATTGTGACATGCCCTTTCTTGCTTGTTCAGGTGATCAGGGGATCTTTTAATGGGTTGGATCTGGGAATGGTCAGCATTTCTTTGGGGGTGCTGATGCTGACAAGTCTACCTACCTGTTTTAGTCAACTACTATGCAATCTCCAATATTGATCTTCCTTTTAGGGAGAAGATTGTTAAGAAATTGTTGAAGAATCTGCTAAGGAGAACCCTAGAGAAAATAGATTGCCTAGACCAGGGGTGTCATCGCGTCATCACGGCAGCATCATGTGGCGTATTGGGACTTTTTTCCCCTTTGCTAAACCAGGCGGGGGCGGGGCAAGCACATGATGCATCCAGCCCGTGGGCCGTGAGTTTGACACTCCTGGCCTAGACCTTTTTCTTTCTGAATTCAGTCCAATAATAGGGTGGAAATGTCATTTGTTGTTCTATTAAATTACCTTTATTGTGACTTGGATTGGAAGAGTGTAATTTTTCTGGTCTTATCTGACCTCTCAGCAGCATTCAGCAGTCAGTATCATCAACAATTACAATTCTAAATTCCCTGCAAAATTTGGGAGATGAAGGCAGAGTGTTATAGAAAGTTGATGATTATTTAGTCAGTGATGGCAGGAGGCTGTTATGGTTTGGCTGAGATTGAACCCTAGGAAGGAAGGCTATTGTTGGTTCAGAAAGGCTCTCTGTCAGCTCTAGTAACTTGTTGGGATGGCACTCACCTCGAAGGAAGCTTGTAATAGGGAGATCTTCCTGAATGGAAGCAGCAGGATCAAACCTAACCTTAGCAAGATTATCAATGAGCCCTTGATCCTTCCAATTCTAAGGACTTTGGTCCTGTGGAGGTTAGCTTCAATTCATTAGAGGAGGCTTTCAAAAAATATGCCAAGACTTCTACCTAGGTATGTGAATATTTCAGAGATCTCAGTTCTGGGGCTTTATAGGCTAGCTTGATTACAATTTTTCTGTAGGTATTGAATTTTTTAAAAATATTTTTCAATCATTTTCTTCCAGACAAAGGCAGCATACGTACTGTTTTACCAACGCAGAGATGTCAAGCTCAAGGGGAGCCATTCTTTTTGCCCAAGCATGGAACCAGAATCTGAAGAATGTGATGGCATGGATACTAACTGAATTTGTGTGGTTAATTTCCAATATGAAAATATATCTGAGGACTTGTTTTGAATCTCTGTGTGGGCTACTTGACAACACAGGAGCCCTCAGCACTGAAAAATAAATAGAGGAAGCAATAAGATGGCAAACTTGGGCATACTCTTTAACCTAAGAGTTTTTAATCAAATTCTATCTTATCTGTTCAATAAAATGTTGTCTAAATCTGACTTTGTATTATGAAGATTGTGTGGGATTAAGAGCTGCTATATGACTGGAGCGATGCATGTTAAGAAAAAGATGACTGTATTGGTTTGCAACTTCAAATTGGGTTTCAGTGAAATAAATGTATTTAGTTTCATGCATTATGAAAAGTGTACAATCTGGGAGATGCCTGAGTGCTGCAGAACTGCAAACATATGGACATCAACTTCAGCCTTGGTTAGCACACATTACCACAACATTGTATCCAATCCCTTTTGGAAATGTCATGATCAGGCTGTGTTATTTCTCCTGGTCCAAAGTCTCCCACCCAAAAATTACCTAAGAAGTATTTCAAAAATAGTTTCCATGTTTTCAGGCTCAATGCCAGTAAAGCAATCCTGTAGAACTAATATACAGATAATTTCCCTTTCCTGTAGCAATATTCAAAAACTTATTCTTCATATTCATCTGATAGCAATGCTTTATGTTCATTTGACATCTTTTCACCACATTTATGCAATGTTTTATCAGCACCATATAAAGGTCTCAATCCCTTTCTCCTTATGAAAGCCACACCAAATATCCAATTTTATGGATGTGTTTCAACCCATTCATTTTCTTTCCTGACATTTTATTCCTATTTATTTGAGTAATTTCCCTTCTGTTTAGCCATTTCCACATCAACTAAAAGTTACCAAAGAAAAATAGTCTTGCTGTTCTCTTTTTAATCCACATCCTTTTCACTAATTCCTAATGTACTTTGGTAGTAGCTTATCTATATAAACTAAGAGAGTTTTCAGTAATCCTCTGGAATGCCACATTGTAATGAAGAGATTTGTTATTAATGGAAATGGCTTTGAAATCATATTAATACCTCATGAAATTATTTCCTTCTGCTGTTGACAGTATGTTCCAAGAATTCATTCAACACTCAGAATCATTTATTTCACAAATAAATTTTACATAGACTTTTCTCTGCAGTTCCACAAGCTATAGTCCAACATTATTTTAGCAGAATTTATTAGATGTGAACAAGTATTCTCTATAGATTTTAGCAGAGGAAGAATCATTGCTGTCAGCTTTATTTTGTTCACATTCAATCTTCCAATGATTACTATATAGATTTGCAGGTGATTCTTCTAAACTTCTAAAAGCACTGAAATGATTATTTAGTTGAGTTGCCAGTATTTCCAGATTTTTAAACTGGTTTAAGGTTTTACTTCAACTGCATATTTTTTCTTGCACATATGGAGCAGAGAAACGGGGCTGGGATTATTTAAATGCTAATGTCAAATTACATTTTATGGTTTTGCTTTTTTCTGTTTTTCTGGGTTATAATTTCTTTTAAATGTAACATTTGGAGAGATAATGAAATATTTAAATGCAAAAAGCAAATATAATCTTATATTTCTGTTGCATACTGAAGCAAAAATCTTTGTTTTTAAGTATGATCAGAGAGTAAGTACATTGAAGTAAGTTTCTTCTAAATGCTGTACAAATGGTATTAGGAATCTTGATTTGCCTCTGACCAGGTTGAATCCTAGATAGTGTGTACATATTGTATAGTATCAAGATCACTTTTAGATTAGCACTGGATTGTTTTACTGTGTAAAGATAAATAATAAAATAAAGAGGAATGGATTGCAAAAAGTATGTACTCTTTGGTATTTCTGTGTGGAGAATGAGGGTTTCTAGTATATCCTGGGATCTGACTTGTTGCCTGATTGAATAGTAATGCCTCTATCAAACAATACCAAAGGTATAACAATCTTTTCCTTTAACTTGGAATATAGCCTAGATGCTATGTGTATGTATTCATTCCCCAGTAATTTCTAAAGCTAGAATTGTAAAGACATACACGGTTTCTAGGGAGCTAGGGAATTCCAGAAAAACATCTACTTCTGCTTCATTGACTATGCTAAAGCCTTTGATTGTGTGGATCACAATAAATTGTGGCAAGTTCTTAAAGAGATGGGAGTACCAGACAATCTTATTGAGAACAATCTCTTGAGAAAGCTACATGCGGGTCAAGAAGCAACAGTGAGAGCTGACACACTGAACCATTGATTGGTTCAAAATTGGGAAAGGAGTCCGGCAAGGCTGTAAACTGTAGCCCTGCCTATTTAACTTATATGCAGAGCACATCATGAGAAAGGTGGTGCTGGATGAATCCAAAATTGGAATTAAGATTGCCAGGAGAAATATCAACAACCTCAGATATATATGTAGATGATCTCACTCTAATAGCAGAAAGTGAAGAGGAACTAAAGAGCCTCTTGATGCAGGTGAAGGAGGAGAGTGCAGAAGTTGGCTTGAAACAACATTAAGAAAACTAAGATCATGGCATCCGACCCTCTCAATTCCTGGCAAATAGATGGGAAAGAAACTGAACTAGACAGTGACAGATTTTATTTTCCTGGGATCCAAGGTCACCACAGATTGGGACAGCAACCAAGAAATTAAAAGATGTTCCTGGGGAGGAAAGCTATGGCAAATCTAGACAGCATACTAAAAAGCAGAGACATCACCCTGCCAACAAAAGTACGTATAGTCAAGGCTATGATTTTCCCAGTTGCAATGTATGGCTGTGAAAGCTGGACCATAAGAAAGGCTGAGCGTCAAAGAATTGAGGCCTTTGAACTATGGTGCTGGAGAAGACTCCTGCAAGTCCCTTTGATTGCAAGGCGATCAAACTAGTCAGTCCTAGAGGAGATCAACCCTGATTGCTCTTTAGAAGGCCAGACCCTGAAGATGAAACTCAAATACTTTGGCCACCTAATGAGAAGGAAGGACTTCTCACTGGAGAAGAGCCTAATGCTAGGAATGATTGAGGGCAAAAGAAGGGGATGATGGAGAATGAGGTGGCTGGATGGAGTCACCAAAGCAGTAGGCATGAGCTTAAATGGACTCCAGAGGATGGTAGAGGACAGGAAGGCCTGGAGGAATGTTGTCCATGGGATTGCGATGGGTCGGACACGACTTCGCAACTAACAACAACACTATTTCTTATCCTTTGATTTTCATGCTCTATTTCTTGGAAATTAATCTTACTAAGAATTTGGATTGACTTAAATCTATTTATCTCACTTCCTAGGAAGATTAATCAATCCTTTTACAGTTTTAATACCGTCATCTAACCGAGACCATTTATGGAGAAAACATGATTAATAAAAGTAATTGTCTGAAATAGGGTTACAATGTTGAGTTATATGCAGTAATTTCTGAAGGACTGGGACAAACAATAAAGACAATATTTCTTTTTAATATTCATCCAGATCAGTCCTGATTAGGCTTATCAGATTCAAATAAAATAATTTCTTTATTAACTAAATAATAATATTAATTTATTAATAATAAATTGTCATTGGAAAGCAGTAAGTCCCATCTTAGAGGAAAGTTCTAGTAGAAACAAAGGTTCCGTGACAGTTGAAACCTTCCACAGGGAGAGGAGGGGCACCAAGCTCTTAGCTGGGGAGCTTTCAATTCAGCTTATGACCTTGCTAAACAAAAGGATTTGTGCAATTGCTCTTTTACCTTGTACTTGCTTTGCAATTGGGAACCCTTGATAAACAGGTCTGGTGGATCCCAAACTTGGATTACAAGGGTCACTGGTTATAAAACCCTTAATATAGATTAGGCATCCCTCACATTTTGATTATATTGTCACAAGCAGGTTGCTTAGGTATTTGTATTTTATGAAGAAATCTAAAATTTATGTCTGTGTGTGTTTGTTATACTCAGAAGTAGATCTGTTGTAAAGATATGCACTCATGTATCACACTTAGTCATAGTTTAGCAAATCTCTCTATGGGGGAGATGGGTGTCCTCCAAATAGTGAGGAAGAGTGGGAGAGATCAATGACCTGGTTCAGACATTGCTAAACAAGTGTACCAACATATGGTATGGCTATGATCAGATAAGAATTAAGCCAAAAATGTGATTAATAATGCACTGCCTCTGTTTAATGAAGGTTTGTAAGCTACCTGCTCCCCAAACTGCTATTATCTGGATTTTTATAAATCATTTTTTTGCAATTTTCACAGCCTACATGTTATAAAGTGTGGCCATTTATAACTCTAAATAGTCTCTATGCCATGTCCAAATACAGTGTGCATTTAGGCTAAAATAATATCATATCCTCTTTGACAAAATGCTTTGGTTTACTATTATGTTGAAAGCCATGCCTTAGTGTGAGGTGTAAATCCTCCCAATGTTATTTTTAGATGAATGACCAAATACTGTCTACAAGTTTTAGGAGGGGCCTGGCAGAGGAATATTAAATGTTTGCTCCAATTACAACTTTCTATAAGCAATCAGACTTCTGGACAATTAGTTATTTTTCCCTTTCAGGTGAGATGTCTGAAAAGTTAAGTAGGTGCCGTAAGGAGCTAGCAGCAGCTATTGATCGAGCAATGGAAGATCTCTCCATTCCTTTCCTTCCTTCCCAAGATACCAGCAACAACCAGGACTCTGATTTGCCAATAGTGCAACTTTCTACACCCCATAATATAGATATCTTTAATTCTAAGAGAGAGGTAATCTCTCCTACTGTATATGGCCCCCAGCCATCTTCAGCAATCTCCTCTCCTGAAAAAGAGAATCCCCTCCTTAGGTCAAATCTCTTTCCAGTGACGGTAACCTCGAGTATTACATGTACCAAACGGGAACCATTGATGAGCAAGGAAAATACATGGTTGCACACTCCAATCTTTATGGCTGACAAGCAGTATTTTATCAGCCTACAAGACAGTGAGAGATGGAAGAAAGGACAAGTAAGGTATGCTTTGCCATTACAGGCTTGATTTGTGATATTATGAGCAGCATGTAAATTTGTTTTGACAACTTTGGTTCCTGCTAATCAAGAACAGGGTAGTTGCTATAACTGACTCCAGGCATTTTGGTGCCCAAGATCAAATGGTAAAAAAACAACGCAAAGCAAAATCAAAGCATATACCATAACCTAATTTGCTGGTCAAAATTTGCTATCTCACTCAGCTCATCAACTCTGGAATATATTGCCAAGAGAAAATGAGTACTCCCTATTGGTTTCCTACCAGCAGGCAGATACATTTTTATTCATTGTAAACTGAAAAAGGATGAACTAGTATCAGTTTCCAGATGAAATCTCGATGACTAAGATGCTATTTTAAGAAAGTAGGCTTTGCAAGACATCCTTAAGAGAACAGGTGGCGCTCAAAACTTCCTAGAGTGTCCTCTTTACCTCTATGGGGGTAAAAATGTCCAGTCCTTTGAATCAATGTTCCTTATTCTGTGAAATGTGGACTTCCATACCATACAAGATGGAATTGATCATACCCATCATGCGGCAGGATAATGATATCAAAAGGCCCCTAAATAAACAGCACAATCATTATATAACTTTTTAAAATTATCATCGCGTATTTCACTGGTATTCTATTTTTATTAGTTCCCTTCCTCATGATCATTACCCAAAAAGCAAGCCACATATTAAAAAAACAATAAAACAGGTACTTGTTGTGGTAAGGGAATAGAGGCAAAACTTGCCCGGTTTGTATTTTAATAGAGATCAACAGAATTTCTAATAACCAAATTCAAACTAAGAAGCATTTTTTTTTCAAAAAGCTTTTATTTTTATAATGATGCAGTACTTAAAAAATGTATATAAAAATATGTTAAAGTAAAACTAAGAAGTCATCGAAAAAGCAGTTTGGGAAAGTGCTCAGGAAACATCTTTACACCTTACTAGGCACAATTTAAATGGTCTTATGCCTTAAAATATAAAAATGGCTACACTGAATGAATTTGGATAGCATAAGTGAAAATTGAGATATCGCTATTACTTGAATACTGGGATAAATTTTATTTTCATTTGTGACAATGATTGGCTTGTTTTCAAATGTTTCTCTTACAATGGGAAATGTCCTGGTCTTGTGTTCAGTTAAAGTGTTTTTATGCTGTTCAGCAAAACTGATGAACGATCCATGAAGTCAGAAACAAACCTAATTTCCTGTGATGTTCCTCCAGAGAATCCAAAGGATCACGAAGATATGTCTGCTGGTAAGCAATATGTCCTCTGCTCCATAGCTTTTTTTTAATTTGGTTCTATGAAGGGAATTAGCACTGCATGCTTAAAGAAGCAAAAAGAATATGCACATTAGGTTTTCTGCAGATTTATCCATTTATATTGTTTTAATATGGATGTCAAGCACAAAATGAATGCAAGATAAGGATTTTTTTTTAAAAGCCATGCTCTGAAAAAATTGCAATTGCTAATTTTGCATTGGCTTGAAAAGCACAACCTTAAAAGTGGGTAGAAATATGTGATGGGAAGGCATCCTCCTTTAGAACTGGTTTCCATAAATGTGTGTGTTAGATTCTTGCTTTAGTTCATTAGCTTTTCACAAACCTGTAAGCCCCCCCAAATGTATCCCATCCATATTTGAAATAGCAAACACCATTACAATAGATGCGAGAAGAGTTTTTGTAATTGTTAAAGTAAAAAATGAATACCAAATACAAATAAATACCAAAAAAAAAGGATACTTAATAACTGGAGTGGTGGCTTTATAACTGCTGTATTCTGACATTTTGACAATTGGAATTCAATTTGAAACTCTTTAGCCTCTTCAGAATGAGAAAACATCATTCTGATATTTTGAAGGATCTGAAGTAAATTACTAGCCTTTTATGCGCTTTTTTTTTCTGTAGACGAATCCTCAGCTGTCCATCTGGGTGAGAGGACCACTTTCAGGAAGGTCCTAGAACACAGCCCTGAAGATGAAGCTATCATTGAAACCTTGTTGGATATGGAAGAGGAATACAGATTAAACAGCTCCACCTTACACCAGCTTCACTAGGCAGGTGGTGTAAAGTGTGAGCTATTTTTAAGATTTGTTAGTAACATTTTAAAACCATGCAAGCAATCCTGACCAGATGCACAATTAAAGTAAGCAACTTACAATATTGGCATGGAGTTTCTTTTTTCTTCTCTGTAGAATAATGAACAGTAGATCAATCAAATGCTACTGCTTTTGCTTGCCCTTCAAGGTAATTTTCCATTGCAAAAAAGATACGGCATATAAGCCATTTTGTGACATAATGATTTAAGTCATGTTTACTTGCAAATTTTTGCCAAACAGAAGATGCACATGTCTTTAAACCAAAAAAAAAACAAAAAACGTTTTGAATAATGGGATGAATTTCACAGAAGGAAACACAAAATAGATAAACACTAATAACGAAACTGACTAGTGGGGGAATGAAATAATCTATATCTTATATCTAAAGATTCATTAATGGTAGGATCTTGTGCATCAAGATATTTACTCCATGGTTTTCTCTGGGGAAGCAAGCTACACATCTGCTTTCATGTCAGACAGGACAGAAAGGAGAAAAAATGTGTAATTCATTGTGATCATAAATGTATAGTTTAAAAGAACACCCCTCCAACCCTCTAATGTTTTTTATTTGGAATGAAATTAAATATTTGGTGGGTTTTTTAGCTTTCACATATTATCATAGCCTTTTTAGGAGTAAAATACTATTGTTGATCATTGAAGAAAACAGTTGGCATCAGGATGCTCTTTATCAGATGATGATGACTATAAAAAGTATTAATGGACTTAATCTATTTTGTTTTTGCCAAAAATAGGCCATGCGTTAAGGGCATAAATATTTTTAGTACTTCAAGTAAGGCCCACTTTTGTAAGAAACATATACAAATATCAGCATAATTTAAGTGGAAACATTGTTACCTTAGAAATATGTCAATAAAGAAACCAGTGAATGTTCTACACACATACGGTACATAATTTAGTGTTATCCACATCCAGAATGGGAAAAGGCTATTTTCCCCTTAATTTTCTATGGGGTGGCATAGAGAATTCTGTATACAGTGCATTACCTATAGCAGTGATGGCGAACCTATGGCACGCGTGCCACAGGTGACACGTGGAGCCATTTCTCAGGGCATGCGAGGTGCTGCCCTGTTAGCTGGCCAGCACGCATGCATGCACTGGCCAGCTGAGTTCATCCCTTTTTAAAGCCATTTTTCGCCCTCCCCAGGCTCCAGAGGCTTTATAGGAGCCTAGGGAGGGTGAAAAGATCCTCCCCCCCCCCCCGGAGGCCCTCCGGAGGCTTCATGAGCTTCCCTGAAGCCTCCGGAGCGCAAAAAAATGGCCCTATGGGCAAACCGAAAGTTCAGGAACGGACTTCCAGTTTGCTCGGAGGGTCATTTTGACTGCTCCGGAAGCTTCAGGGAAGCCTCCTGAAGCCTCCAGAGGACATCCAGTGGGGCGGGGGAGGATCTTTTCACCCTCCCCAGCCTCTGGAGCCTGGGGAGGACGAAAAAACATGCAAAAAATGGGGGGAAGCACCTGTAGCATGTGCATTGCATTATGGGTGCAGCACGCCCGCACACGACCCCCCTGCACTCCCCCCACTTATGGCACGCGAGCCAAAAAAGGTTCGCCATCACTGACCTATAGCTTGGTTTCTAGCTCGATTGTTGGCAATTGTTGCAATTGACTTCTTGTGACCTCTCTTCATACAAAGAAAATACAGGTAAGTCCTCCATTTATGACTGGTCATTTAACGACCGTTCAAAGTTCCACTAGGACCCCCCCTTCCCCAAAGATATTTACAACTCCTTTTTAACAGAAACACACACACACACACACACACACACACACACACACACACACACACACAGAGTTACATAACTGTGTTTTGGGTGCCCTGCATTTATGGCTGTTTGCAGCATCCTGGAGTCCCGTAACCACAATTTATGACAATTTTGCTGAAACCTGAGGTTTACTTCCATTTTTTTTGCAAAAGCTGTCTCTAAGTGAATAATTGGTTCACTTAAAGACTGTGACATTTGCTTAATAACTGGAGTGGTGGCTTTATGACTATAGCATTTGCTTAACGACCGTGACAAAAAAGGCTGTAAAATTGAGGCCATCATGTCAGTGATTTGCTTTATAATTACCAGGAAGATGGATTTTTTATATATAATTATCTATACCTCAGATGCAGAGGTGGGTTTCATATACGTTTACCACTGGTTTGCCACGCACTGAGAAGGATAGAGTTGCCTCTCATTTCTGTTTTTAGTTTGTGACAGAAAAAGGACTGCAAAGGTATTAAATGTAACATGCATCCCCACAGGTTTCCATTGGGATACTGTGATCCCTGGGCTTATTCATTTTCCTTGCTATATAGCACTGCCATTTCATAGCTGAAATGAACTCTTGTTGTTATTCTACTGATGAATAGAATAATGATATAGCATAATTCAACAACTCTCTGCATATCAATTCTCAAAACTCTCAGCAAAGGTCTCACTAGTTGGGAAATTCATGGGGCTGCAGCCTTATCAAGCGTAGATCAAGGCCAATGATATTTTGAAACATTATAATAGGAAATATTGGAAATTCTGTACATACACCACACTGTTAAAAAAATCTTAAATCGTCTTTTAATGCACTTCTACTTTAGTGTCATAGATTGACAACTGAGCTACAGCCACGTATAATATTTGGCTGGTACCTAAAGAAAACGATTCAATCAACCTGGCTTTAGCCTTGTGAACTCAGGACATGCATCATTGTGTTTATATACACAACATTCTTTACTCCAAAAGCTATGAACAGAATAATCTTATTTCATATACATTTTAAAAATTTAAATGTTTGATGGATTAGTTTAAGACCTAAAGCCCTTTTTCTATAGATCTAAAATCCATCAAAACATATCTCAATAAAAAAAGGAATTTGATTCTAATCCATACTTTAATAGTATTCCATTCTAAAATTAAAGTCCAAGTTATTCTAGTGAGTGATATTTACTACAGTGAAATTTATTTACTTTCCATTTTGGTAACAGCATTCAGTTACTTTGTTTACCTAGATGACAAGAGAAAAGTTAGAAAGGAAAAAGTGAATCTTCATCCAGCTCTTGGACAAGATCCAAGACTCTAGTAACTTGAACATCTGGATAACCAAATTCCACTTAAATTCAAGTTTTTAAGGATAGGTAGTTTCTCAAATGTAGTGGGGTTAAGCCCTAGCTGTCAAGGAACTTCAGTGTTAAACCATCTTTTGGGAAACAGTGACATTTAACAAATACGGCAGCAGTGTATTGAATTCTTAATACATTTCCGCTATCCACAACAGGTGGCATAAATTTTTCTTCTAATGAGTGTGGCTTGGGCTAAAAGTTTAGTACTTTACATCTGCTCAATGAAGAACTATCAGCACAAGTTCTAAGATAACTCAGAAAACATCAGTTAATCTCAGGAGATGCTCTTGAAGCAAGACTTTTTGCCTGCAGCAACATAATTCACAGAAATTCTGATCAAATTTATTCTGGTCATCAATAAGGACACACTTCTGATATTAAACATAACTGATTTAATGTCAACCAAATAAAGGTCCTCAGAACATGGATGTCTGCAATTCTTCCTTAAACATGCCTTCAAAGCGGAGATCTTTAGCCATGAGTTCTTCCTCAACATCCTCCAGTGCCCACTGATGGTCAGTCAGTTCTAGAGCCTCCCATTCTGTCTGTAATGGCAAAGAAAGAGCACTGATAGGACCAGTAGAACACACCCAATAGCTACACTGGCTCTTTTGAAATTTATGGCAAGGTCTTATTCAATATCATGTCTTAGGAGTCTAAATTTGAGCAGTTGGGTATAGATCAATGATTAACTTGTTTAAAAACAGCCTGCACATTTAACCAGCCATCATCCTGGCCAATATGTCAGTCAGTGCCAATGCTTAACATATAACCATGGCCACATTTTCCATAACACATCACTTTTATCCAAATAAGATTCATAGAAACTTCGACGTTGTTTTCTCTCAATAAAAATAAACACTGAAGTAGCTCTATAGATTACCAAGTCAATTCCTCATATTTCTATTGTGTCCACAACTTAAACAAATTCAGTCATGTGAGTTTCTTCCCAAACTCTCCAAAGCACTGATCAAGTTTGTTGAGCTTGGTTGCTGCTCTGAATTGTGCGCGCCAGAACCCGGAAGAGAACAGCTATCTGGCGTGCATGCGTGTGGCGAAACCCGGAAGAGCAGCTGGCCAAAGGTTCGCCCTAACGGCTCTATAGCTATTCTTTCTTTAAAGGCATTTCCCCTGTACATTCAAGGAAATGCTACCTATGATTTGAAGAATTAATTTCAGCAGTTGGATAAGTCTTGTACCTTGAATGCTTTATTGGTATCTGCAGGCATGGCCATGGCTGCTCCTGTCATCTGCTCCTGCATTACTCTGGACTGATCAGCAGCTAGAAATATGAAAACAAGTGGATTATTAAAGTATGCTCTACAAGCATACTAACAGAAAAGACATTTCAGAAAGTGATAAGCCAACATTCATCTCTATAAGTAATGAAATATTGTTTCCATGTTCATCCAATTATGTATAAACAATAGGCTCAGTTTTCTTTAGCATTAAACTGAAGATTAAAAGCTTTACACCTAAGTAGAGCTAAGGAAGTACATTTTAATTTGCAGAGGATACTAGTACGAGTAATTTGATTTGCAATCATAACACTAAAATTATTTCAATTAGGGTCAGCAGTGAGAAACCTTTTTAGGGTAGAAAAATAATAATTGTGAATTCCAAATTGTATAGTATGTATGAATTGGATTTCTCACAATCCTTCTGAATTGAAGCTACAAACAAGTATTTCCTTGAATGGATGTAATTTATGTCAGGTCATGACTCCTTCAAAAGGTTAACTGATTAGTAATCTTCTGAGGAAACAGTAGCTACATTTGACTCAAATTTTCTCTTGTCTCTCTGTAAAACTTTTAATTTAAATGAACAGAAAATAACTTACCATTATCTTGGCCAAGAATGAGGGTATAAATGCTTCGAAGTCCAAAGACATTTAGAAAATACCAAGAAGCTGAGCTTACCCTAATATATCAAAGAAATTAAGTGTTATTTAAGTAATAAGGGCCTGTGTACAAGATTCTAGATCTGCTTCAAATAAGGTCAAACAATGAAAAACTCTTACCAAGATGCATCCAAAGTAAGCAATTCAATACCCTGTTGTAGCATTGGTTTAAAACGCAATGTCAGAGGAAAAGGGACTTTTGCTGCAAACGTTTAAAAAGAAGGTCTGTTAAAAAGAGAACTATTCTGTATGGCACATTGCCTTAGAAAAGGAAAGATATTATGAGAAGTTGTTTAAAGCAGAACTTTCCATAACTGAAAACAAAACAAAAAAATGGAAAATTGAAAAACAGAAAGGCAAGAAAAGTTCAAAAAATAGAGTAAGCAGAGGAAATGCACAAAGTAGAAAGCAAATATCTCTTAAAACAAAGCAAATTAAATTAACAAGTGCCAGGGTGGATTTGATTTAAATCAAGTCAATTTAAATCATGATTTAAATCGCTAGTAAAAAGG